AAAATTTATTTGGTAAATACAATGAAAAAAGGTATATGAAAAAAGAAAAATAAAGTTAAACAATTTGCATATATCAATTTTTATTATTTAATTATTTTTTATGTAAATAAAATAAATTTTCAGAATTTTTAGAAATCATAAAATAAAAAGAAAACAATACACATTTTGTTTAACGAATAAAACTTTTCGAGTTTCAATAAAATTTTTTTTTTCGAATTTATATATAGTCTATATGAATGACAATGTCTCTGTAAAATTTATATTCTTCAAATCCCTCAGCAATACCTATCCACAACGATTTGAATTTATTCAGTTTACTATGTTAGGTTTTATATATATATATATATATATATATATATATATATATATATATATATATATATATTGTAAAAAATAAATTTTATTCGACTTTCAAAATTTAAATACAACAGACAAATTGAAACTAATTTATAAAACAGACGAAAATCCAAAAGTATAAATTAATTTCTCTTGATGCTTTAATTCGAGAGTATTTATTTAAAGTATTTGATTTAATTAACAATTTAAAACTGTAATTAAAATAAAATGTTTTAATTTATTGCTAAGTTTTATATATATACCAATATAAATAAAAGAGAGAAAATCTGTGTACCATGATTTGTCATTTACATTGCGAATGTTCTTATTGGGTTTCTGGAAGCCATGGTGAACTTTAATTTAGGAAAAACGTACTTGGTCCATACGGGTGAATGAGGGAGTTTGAGGAGGCAAAATTATTTGTTTTGGCGCTCTAGATTTATACGTATATATATATATATATATACGTATATATATATATGTGTGTGTGAAATTAAAAAAAAGTTACAATTATTACTTTTTCAAAATTTTTAAGTGGAAAAATAATAATAAAAATAAAATTCATAATCAAAAAAAGAGAATCTTATTTTAAAAGAGGAAATATGTCTTATTTTAAGATACAACATTTTTGAAAAAGTTCAAATTGAATTTCTGAATAGTGTAAAAACTGATTATCAAGCAATTTTGGCGAGCCCAATATGGCGGAAAAATTAAAAGTTGATTCGATTCGTTCAAAATTTAGGACTCGGGGGTTTTTTGGGTCACTAAATCCAAATTTGATGTCAGATTTTAAAAATTTTAAATGGTGGACCCAATATGGCCACTTAACATAGTGGAAAAAATTTAAAATTTATTCGATTCGTTCAAAATTCGGTACTTAGGGTTTTTTTATGAAAATCAAGTCAATTTTTAAAATTTGGACACCATATTGAGTCCGCCATTTTGAATTTTTTAATTCTGACCTCAAATTCGGATTCAGCAACCCCAAAAACTTTAGTATACACTCAATTCTAATTATGTTTAGTATTTGTTTTCTAATGTGGACATATATGTCCAAAATCACAAAGGTGGCACGACTTTTTTTGGACATATATGGGTCATCAACAGTCAAGTGGTTAACTGTGATATATAAAAAAATAAAAAGAAAAAAAAGTGATAAAAATTATCCAAGAAAATCTCGTTTTTTAAATAAAAGAAAAAAAATTTAGAAAAACCAAGCAACTGACAATCAGTAGATTGTATGGGATCTTTGTCGAAATAGTTTTATGATGCATTCTTCGTTCAATTACAGCCATAAAGAAATAAATACACACACGTCTAGTTTGTCAACCTTCCTACTATACGTTAGTTCCTCCCTAAAAGAGAGACTACTGGAGCCGTAGCGCCAACCAGTCTAGCCAAATAAAAGTTGTGGAAGTCATCCACTCTACTTATATCTCTATATAGGTATAGGATAATTCTTATATAAAATTTTCGTCTACCAAAATATTTAATATTTCCTTAGCTTAAGGCTCAACTTTTAATTTATTAAGGAGAATTTTTTTTCTCCACTTCCTCTCGAGAATAATTTTTCGTTTTCATTTTATTTCGAATGTGCCTATAAATTTATTATATTATTTGATTTAAAGTAAAATTTTAACAAATGTTTAAAAAATAATTTTTTATACCTAATTAATATTAAATAAAAAATTATTTTACATACAATGAAAAAGCATCAGATTATTTTCGTATTTTCCTATCGTGACACACATGCAAGATATGTTTTTTTTCGAAATATTTTTTTTTTTTCTCTAACATATAGTCGAGTTTTATATATTATGTACATATATTCACAATTTTTCTCTTGTATTTCATTTTTATATATTTTATTTTCCTTCTAGAAAAGCTCATACATTGGTATTTATGTATTGGACTGTATGAAAATCCCAAAGCTCTTTTTCTGCTAGGATGATTGCAACACAAATCGGGGGCTTTTCACATGAAAAAACTAAAAAATTGTCATATGTACTTTTTAAAAAATATAATGATAGAAAGGGACTTTTATGAAATTACGAAATCTTCTTTTATAATGGATAAAAAAACCAAGCTGTTTTTTTAAAAATACAAAATGTTTTTTTTTTAATTTATAATATATTATACCTATATCTTTTTATATTAAAAAAAAATCGCCATCGCTATTTCAAGAATCAAATAAAAACCTCAAAATTTAGACCAAATGTCATAATTCAAGAGGTGGATATAACCTCAAAAATTAGGTTAAAGCTTAAACGGCGAACATAACCTCAAAATTTAGGTCAAATTCACAGGTGAACGTATGTGTATCTTCAAATCTATTTAAATAGAGAGTTTGACGCGAATTCCAATATTAAATTATTTCAAAATGAATGAAAATGCTTTTTAAAATACGTGGAAGGTTTTTTCTTTTAATAATAACATTTAAGAGAATAATTCTCTTGTATTCTTTCAATTATTGAAGATTTATCAAAAAAATCATTGGTACTTTTACATCAGGGACTGGGAAATGCCTCGACTATATCAAAAGCATCATGTCTTTATACATCAAGAGTGATTAGTGTCCACCCTCATCGAAAAGTACAATGTAGAAATGAACGCGCAGAAAGTGGATACTTGAGATATTTTAACGCCTGTCCTCGAGGCTGTAAAGCAAGTTCACTTGCGTTCATCGGAAACTGTCTCGACGTCGATCAACGATCACGTTAAGCACTTATCGAAAAATTCAAGTGCTTCTCTACAAAAAAGCTCTAGGTGTATATATATATATATATGAGGCATTTTACGTGTAATGTCCTGAGTTAAAAAATTGATTTCTTGAAAAGAAGTGAAACTTGGGGAAATTGTTGTCCTACCTGATAGTAAAATATCCCAAAAAATTTTTTTGACTTTTTGCAAATTTTGGGGGAGATAGAGGGGGGTCAATTTTATCAATTTTCCCTCACACCGCTTACTATTTAAATTTTTTATGTCTATAAATGCAATTTAAAAAAGTTTGGCTAGTAAGTTTTCTGAAGGTTTATTCATGCTCTTTCCAGTGGTGAATTTCGGTTTTTAAAATTTTTGAATTTTGACCTTGATTTTCTATAATTAATCATAAATTTGCTATTTTCACTAAAATCGATGCGTCAGTACATCAGTACTACATCAGTACTACATCAGTACTACATCAGTACTACATCAGTACTACATCAGTACTACATCAGTACTACATCAGTACTACATCAGTACTACATCAGTACTACATCAGTACTACATCAGTACTACATCAGTACTACATCAGTACTACATCAGTACTACATCAGTACTACATCAGTACTACATCAGTACTACATCAGTACTACATCAGTACTACATCAGTACTACATCAGTACTACATCAGTACTACATCAGTACTACATCAGTACTACATCAGTACTACATCAGTACTACATCAGTACTACATCAGTACTACATCAGTACTACATCAGTACTACATCAGTACTACATCAGTACTACATCAGTACTACATCAGTACTACATCAGTACTACATCAGTACTACATCAGTACTACATCAGTACTACATCAGTACTACATCAGTACTACATCAGTACTACATCAGTACTACATCAGTACTACATCAGTACTACATCAGTACTACATCAGTACTACATCAGTACTACATCAGTACTACATCAGTACTACATCAGTACTACATCAGTACTACATCAGTACTACATCAGTACTACATCAGTACTACATCAGTACTACATCAGTACTACATCAGTACTACATCAGTACTACATCAGTACTACATCAGTACTACATCAGTACTACATCAGTACTACATCAGTACTACATCAGTACTACATCAGTACTACATCAGTACTACATCAGTACTACATCAGTACTACATCAGTACTACATCAGTACTACATCAGTACTACATCAGTACTACATCAGTACTACATCAGTACTACATCAGTACTACATCAGTACTACATCAGTACTACATCAGTACTACATCAGTAATTCTAAACCTATGCCTGGAAAGTTACATGACTTTATGTAGCAAAGTTTTAAACAATTATTTTTATTTGAGGTATATATATATAAATATAAATTTCGTTGCTTATTTTATCAGGGAAAGTTAATATTAATATATAGTATTCAATTTGCCCAGGACCTGAGAGAGCATATATATATTGCCGGTTGTGAAGATCTCGTAAAATACATAGTGTGGTGGCCGACCAGGTTTCGCCCTGAAACAGGGGCGCAAACTCGTTGTGACGATAGGGGTGGTTTAGGGACGAGGCTGACATTGCACCAAGTCCTTTACGCGAAACGATACTCGGCAGTACGTTTCCACCACCCATGCACGTAGTACGTACGCAGGCACGTGAGTTTTGGCGTATCAACCATCAATTTGCCACATTACCCCCCACCCCCTCTTCTCCCATTCCGGCAACGACTTACATAAAAATACAATTTAACTGTATTTTGCATATATATTTAAATATTTTATTGGCATAATTTTTTAACAAAAAAAATAACTCAAGATAAAAAAAAAATAAAAATATTTTTTCAATTTGTAAAAAAAGAAATGCTTACAATGAATGTAATTATAAACAAAGAATAGATAATAATGGAAATCAAGTAGCATCAATTTTTTTGCATCATGTTGCGATTAATTAACTTTTATACTAACACGGATCAACCGGTCGAATTCTGAAACGCGTCGCGTGATTATGATAAAGTTCAAAATGAAGTTAGATCTATTGATTTTATTCATCAAGAAATCACTTGGATTTATATTTTATTTTCCATTGGAAGTAATCGCAATTTTTTATTCTCACTGAGGCATTCGATTTTTACTACAAAATTGTAAGTATAATGAAAATTTAAAACTTTGTTTCTTTTTTTTATATATATTTTCATTCACTAACGAAAATATTTTCTATTATGAGTTTTGTTTTCAATATATCGTATAAGTAATTAATTAATTGTTTAATTAATATTTATTAGTTTTTTTACAATAATTGTGGAAATTGAAGAAAAAGAAAATTGTCTTGTTAAATCAACAAGTCGTTTAATAATAGAGGTTTGGTATAGTAAGTTTAATAAGATAAATTGTAAAATTTACTAAAAACTTGTATAATTTAATATGAAAATTTTGTTTATATATTTAACAGACTATTGTTATGTCATATTTACAATTGAAATTTAAAGCTCTATTGGAAATTTTTATTTTTTCAAACGATTGAATAATTTAAGAATTGTAAATTTCAGTAATATAATATTAAGTTATTAAAAATAAATAATAAAGTAACAAAATAATTATATAAATTAATTCCTCTGAATTTGAATTGTGTTGTAAAAAGTTCTTTACTAATTTCAATTAGTGGAAATTTTTAATAAATTTAAATTAGAGGATGACTTTCCGCTAATTCAGATTTAAATTCAATTTAACCAATATTTAATTATTTGTTCTCTAAATCTGAGTTAGTAAAAATTTTAACTAATTTGAAATAGTGACTGAATTTTTGTTATGAATTAGTTAAATTTTACTAATTTAGTAAGAAAATTTTTGCTAATTTAATAATAACTTTTTTTTATTTGTAACAAAATATTTAGCCCATAGTCAAAAAGACTATTAACTATTAAAGTTTATTAATACATTATTTAGTTCGAAATTAATAACAACATTGAAATAAAAGATCTGTATTATAAAATAACAATGATAAATTAACAAATTTAACAAATTCTTAGCAAACATTTAGTCACTAATTTAAACTAATTAAAATTGTATATATTAATTCAGATTTAAAGTATAGTGAAGTTTATTATTTAATTAAATTAATTAATTTATTAAGTATTATTAATATTATTATTACTAATTATTATATCCTATTCAGTTTTAATGTCATAAAATAATAATTGAATTATTTTTTCTCTGAGATAATTCTTGATAGGTGTTAAAATTGTTTAAAAAAGGTTTTTACGATTGACGTGAAATATATAAAAAAAAAAATGCTTTTACGACGGTTGAACAAACTTGAGAAAGTGGCCAATGAAAATATATATATATAGTTACCAGAGCAATTAGTAAAATATGGTTCAGACATTTATTGGCTGTAGCAACCAATTGTTTCGTTTTACTGAACGTTCGCAACAGTTCGCAGCTTGACTGATCCAACCAATTAATTGATTGTCAACCGCAATAGTTTCTGAGGACCGATTTCTTGCTATAGTTACATAAATCCTTAACATCACAATCAAAATTTGAAAATTACTTGAATACCCAAGTAGAAATATCCGTAGCTCGCCGTAATTAAACACCGGCATGGTACTGATCCAATACTGGCTGTCGGTATTGACTTTCAGTACTGGCAGTGTACTGACTAATACACTGAATCAGTACTATGTCGGAGGTAAAAAAATATTAAAACCAGTACTGGCAGTACACTGTCATTCACACCGAATCAGTACTATGTAGGTGATAAAAAACATTAAATGAAAAAGTCTTTAAATTATTTCAATAGGTAGAAAACGATGATTTTTTATTTAAAAAAATGTATATTAATTTCTTTCGAATACTTTCCCTCAAAATTTTGGATGTAATTGTAATGTATTATTATATACCTATATAAAATATATTTATGTTTTTTTAGTTATTTTAGTACTCATTGAAATATGTGCATTAAGTTATTTATCATGCATACAATAACAATAAGTTGAGAATTTTTTTCTAATAGTTTTAAAAATAAAGCAAATGTAATTTTTTCACTGTAATTTTTAAATATTATTAATAATTAAATATTAAATTTAAAAAATTTTTCACCATTCATATTTTACAGTCGTCTTTTATTAACTTATTTTTAATTATGTAATTCATCAATCATTTTTGTCTGTTTTAATATTATTTACGGTAAAAATAATTTATTAAAAATATTTAACTGAAATTGATATCCAGTTTTATTTCATTAAATCTTTGTAAAAATTGAAAAAATTTTGTGAGTTTAAAAAATTTAAGAATAAATTCATTTTATTTTCGTGATCAATAGATAATACAAACTTTGAAATCAAAACTTTTGTATTAGGTGAACTACTTCAAGTCAGCACTTCAAGCCAGCGCGGCTGTGCGGTATGCGTATCTGACTTGCGTTCTAAGGGTTTAGGGTTCGATCCCCCATGCGTGCGAGATTTTTCGTTCTTAGTTTTAAGTGTTATAAGTACAATATTTGTTCATGTGTAATATCAATTATTAAATAATTATTAAATTAAGTATAAGTGCAAAGTAAAAAAAATTAAATATTATGAATTTAAAAAAATAAAAAAATTTACAACACAAATTATTTTTTGTAAAATAATTTATTAAAAATAAAATAATTTAATTAATATAAATGATCATTATTATTTTAATTATTTATTGTTAATAATATTTTATATATTCTAAATAACATTAACTATTATTGGCTTCACATTACCTGTTCGTGGTAAAAATGGGAGTAATAAGCTAATAAGGATGAAATTTGCATTGGAAAGCGTGCTTTAGCATTTTGTAAAAAAGTGAGATTTTAAGTCCGGATGAGTACTTTGCCAGTATTATGCCAGTATTATTCTAGTACTACGTTAGTACTGGTGAGCGGGACAAAATCAGTACTGGACAGCGTTACCAGCCAGGGTTGGTCCACTACTGGCCCAGTACGGCAGTCAGTACCGTTATACTGACTGGCAGTGTTGGGTCAGTACTATGCCAGTGGCACATTTCTACTTGGGTATATATAATTATTTTTTCATTATTTAGTTTTGAAGCAGTTTACAATTTACTTTACTTACTCCCTAAATTTAAATTAGTGAAAATTTCTACTAATTTTTAGTCATTTTTTTTACTAAAACTTTAGTAAAAAAAAAATTCTTTTTAAAATAAATAAATAAAAATAAAATTTGTTTTTAAAAAAATGTTTTTTTTTATTTCAATATAATTTTTATGTAAAGTCATTCATTAAATTTTTTGTAAAAGATTTACAGAAAGATTATACATAAATATATATATATATTTGAAAAGTTTTGCAATTCTTTTATCCAGCAGGGATGAAAAAAATGATTTCTTCTTAAAATTTGCACAGCCAAGATTACGTGACAAAACACGATATAATAATTATCTCGACAAACATAAATCTTTTAAACGCAATATAGAAGGATTCTTTTCATATATGTATAGAGATTTTACGCAATTGAAATATGCAGCGAGAAAACAAAAATTTTATATTTCTTTTCACAACTATGTAAACTTATACTAATGATGGTAATAAAAATTAATCTCGCCATTAAAAAGTAATGAAATATAAAGAAAATATTAAGAGATTAATAAATGAGAGCAGAGATTTTTTGCAGCAACCTATTGACGAATATATATATTTCAATGCAATTTATTTATTTGTATGTATATTTTTTTGATTTTTGAAGCTATAATCCTATGAAAACAAATAGTAAAAAAAATGTACATCTTTGCGGGATAAAATAAGTTTGTACGTTGACAAAGGTGAGGAAAGAAAGCGGATAAAGATAAAGAATTTTGTCTGAATATTTCGAGATTGTAATATCGCATTTCTTATATTTGTATTTTAAATCGCATATTTCTATTGAGCAGTCAATAAAATTTGTCAAAAAAAAAAAATAATAATAATTAATAAAATTTTAAATCCTACAAAGAAAGACATGAAAAATATTTTATCTTTTCCATTGAATACCGAAAACAATTTATTATCTAAAAATTAATCATTTATCCTAATTTTGAATAATTTAATTTAAATTTATTCTTAAATTTAGTATATGCCGAGGGGGAATTTACTAGTAAAAATTGTATACACTTGACTACAACTACACATATTACCATTATTACCTTAGTATTATACTTTTTACAAGTATTACATACTACTATACCAAAATATTACTGTATTACAAAGTATTACACATATATTACTGAGTATTACCCTTTATTACAAAAAATATTACAGGTCAAATAGCACTTTCTTATATGTATAGAACTTTCAATAAAATTACTTAAAATTATTATTTAAGAGTAAAACTTTAAAATAAGAAATAGAGAAATAATTTAATATTTTTAAATATTAGGGTAAGTGCATCAATTACGACGAGAGCATCAATTACGGCGCGTTCATAAAAAATAACTATTATCACTATTATATTTAATATAACTGTTGCAAAATGATTAAAAAAAATTATTTTAATCTTTTTTTGATACAATTATTAATGAAGATGCACATTTAAACAATTATTAATTAAATTATTTGAGATCAAATTTTTTCCCTCGCAGTAATTGAAACATTTTTAATACTTCCATTGGCTCCAATTTCGACGGGCAAAGTATCTTCAAAGTACACGTAATTTTGGTCACCGAAACTGATACAAACGCGCCGCAATATGAAATTACGGTATTAGTTTTAATTTCTCATATTTGTTTAAATAATCGATTTTTATAAAGTTAAACATTTTTTTTAACATCTAAATAACATAACCTTTTAGTTTAATAAGTCTTAAATTGAGTTTATACAATAGAAATGTCGAATTTTTTATTTCAAAGGTGTTTTAACTTAAATCGCGCCGCAATTACTGCATTTACCCTACTTATAAAAGAAAATAATAAATTTCTCTTTTTTAAAACGTAAATAACTATTATTTCAAATGTTTTGAACTTTCTTTTAAAGAACAGGATAAATATAACTTATATAACTCCCGCGCTACATTTGAACAAGTGTTTAAAATTTTTACTTATATTAACATTTTTTGGTTTAATTTTCTTTAAATTTTTTAAAGTATTACACTATAATACCACAATATTACAAGTATTACACAATATTACATGGTATTACACAATAATATACACAGTAAAAACAAAGTCTTAAACCGTTTACACCTTAAATTAAGCCCATATATTTTGCATAAGTCTGTCCTTTTTTAATTGGTCTGACTCCGTTTACACCTTAAGAGCATTTGAACCTTCGTGACGTCACAAATCATGGCGCATGACACGCAAACTTCTCAGGTATGTGAAAAGCACAATTTTGAATATTTTTTAAAAAAACCTTTTGGAAAATGTTCAGAATAACATAGACTCTGTCTGTTATGTGCGGAAAATTCGAAATTTTGCGTTTAAAACGTTTTTTAAACAATGTTAAGGTCACAAATCATGGCGCATGACACGCAAACTTCTCAGGTATGTGAAAAACACAATTTTGAATATTTTTTAAAAAAACCTTTTGGAAAATGTTCAGAATAACATAGACTCTGTCTGTTATGTGCGGAAAATTCAAAATTTTGCGTATAAAACGTTTTTTAAACAATGTTTAAGTTGGTTATCACAAGTAAGGAAAAAAACACGAATTGCTTATATGTAGGCATTGTTTAAAAAACGTTTTAAACGCAAAATTTTGAATTTTTCGCACATAACAGACATAGTCTATGTTTCTCTAAACATTTTCCAAAAGGTTTTTTTAAAAAATATTCAAAATTGTGTTTTTCACATACCTGAGAAGTTTGCGTGTCATGCGCCATGATTTGTGACCTTAACATTGTTTAAAAAACGTTTTAAACGCAAAATTTTGAATTTTCCGCACATAACAGACAGAGTCTATGTTATTCTGAACATTTTCCAAAAGGTTTTTTTAAAAAATATTCAAAATTGTGCTTTTCACATACCTGAGAAGTTTGCGTGTCATGCGCCATGATTTGTGACGTCACGAAGGTTCAAATGCTCTTAAATTCAGCCTCAAAAATAGGCTGAAATCAAGATTTCTTTTTTAGTGTGTACTTATTATTACAAGACATTACAAAATATTACAGATATTACATCTATTACCGAGTATTACCAGGCAAGTGTACACTTGACTACCAGAGTAAATTCCCTCTCGGTATATGTCATATTCTCAAAATAAAAAAAATATATTCCAAATTTAAGAATATATTTCATAAATATTAACTATGTTTTTTAAATTAGAATATATTCAACTTAATTTAAAAGTAGAATATATTAAATTTAAGAATAAATTGCATTTAGATATTTTTAAATAAGTGCATAAATATAAATTAAAAAAAAATTTTCTTCATCTTTTTTTTTTTATTAGCTCTTTTATAAAGTTTAATAGTAACAGTGGGAATTTTTTGACTTTTGATCATTTTTTTTTTTATATTCTAAAGATAAAAAGGGACATTATTCACTTTAGCCTGCGAAGAAGAGTGAAAAAGAATTTTGGTCTGAAAAGAACCGTTTTCAACTTTTACGTATCGAGTCACTATCGAGGATTTGAAATTGCTATGGTTATTGGAGGGTCATGTAATGTTCATCATTAAATTTATAGGGAAAGCCCATCATATTTCGTATCGCATATATATATAGAGAGAGCAAAGTAAAATTTTTATACCAACATTTTTTATCTAAGGTATAATCCCTAATATTGTATATTTATATGACAATACTAACAACTTTGATTTATGTAATATATTATCTTTACTTTTTCATTCATTTTTTTTTATTTTTTATTTAAAAAAAATATATTTAAAAATTTTTTGTTTCTCGAATTTATAATTATTTGTCTATATTTACCTATAGTTTATTTATTTGATTTTTTAAAAAATCGACATTCTCTTTTATATTCTCTTTTATATTTACAGTTTTATAATATTCTCGTTACGAAAAACAGAGATAGAAAATATTTTATAACAATTTCAATACATGAATTCCAATTTAATTGTAATATACGTGAAGTATTTTCAATCATCAATAATTATACAAAATTTATTATTTTTAAATGTTCTTCATATGAGAGAGTTTAATTAATATATTCTTTTTTTCAATATTCATTTATCATTGCGATAAGTATTTTTATTTAATTTTTTTTTTTTTAAACAATTTTTAGTAGATTAAGGAAGGTCACGTAGAGAGAGAGAGAGAGAGAGAGAGAGAGAGAGAGAGAGAGAGTTTTGATATTGAGATGCTCGGAAAGCATGCAAACTGAATCGTTTATATACAGTTTATAGTGTCTGGAATGCAAAAAATTTTTCTGAATTTATATAAACTTTTTTAAATTCTCGACCATTTAATGTATTAAGTATCAGTCTGATTACACGGTTCACTTAAAGCGCTATTAAAGCGTATTAAATTCTACATCCAACGAGCCCTATTTGAATAGATTTTGTAAAAAATTAACTGAATTATTGTAGTTTTTCTCTTTACATCTCTAGTAGCTGATTCAAGAACATTATAGTTTTCTTTTCTTTTTCATTCTTAATTGTTTGTGTATAGTATTTGTTAAGTTCTGACAGTTTTTATTTCATGTTAGTCATGCTAACAATAAGTTTTTTCAACAAATATTAATTTTACAAATGAACTGTAAACAAACACGATTGGATAAAAATACTCCAAGTTATGAAGGTTTTACTAATTTTTATTTTTTGTTATTTTATTTTTTTTTAATTATCTTCTTGTACATGTTCATTTATGCACGGAAAAAAACAAAAAGTAATTTTTACTACTTTCATAGTAAAATGGGATCTGTCCGAAGTTTCTGCGCATCTCTGGCAACTTTTACTCCAAAAATAGTAAAATTTGCTCCAGAAATAGTAAAATTTACTCCAGAAATAGTAAAAATTATTACAAAAATAGTAAATTTTACTATTTTTTGAGTAAAAGTTGCCAGAGATGCGCAGAAACTTCGGACAGTTCCAATTTTACTATGAAAGTAGTAAAAATTACTTTTTCTTTTTTTCCGTGTGTCTTCGTTTAATAAAAATAAAAAACCTTATAGACAGCGGAGTAGTTTTCTTACAACTTTACAGCTGTGCAATAATTCTTAGCATACATAAGTTTTAATGGTTCTAAATTAATAAAATTTCAAATTTTTTTTAAAAAAAGTTTTTTTCAAATGAAATTGTACAAAGACATGAACGATTTCATGTGTGAGTACATGTACATGAACCTGCATAAGAATATGTAGAAGAACATGTACATTTTCTTGTATACTAATATTAAATGTTTTTTCTTGTACAAGACCTGTAAAGAGAAAAACTACAATAATTCAGTTAATTTTTTACAAAATCTATTCAAATAGGGCTTGTTGGATGCAGAATTTAATACGCTTTAATAGCGCTAGAAACAGTTAACATCAGTTAAAGTTGAAAAATTGCGAGAAAAATGACAACTTCTGAACATTTTTGTAATTTTTCTCATATAAATATTAATTTAAACAAAAATATCGAATATGGGCTAAAAAGCTCTGTTTTTCAGCTTCAAAATGAAAAAAAAATTTTGAAATCGGTGCAGAAATAAGAAAGATACAAAGGTTTTTATGCATAAACATACGTAAACATGGTTTTCTGGATCTAAAATAAAAATTTAGGGGTGTTTGGAGAATTTTATATATACCATTCTTCTTAGTTTTTTGTGACCTACAACCTCCAATAGGTTTCATAAGAAGTATATTTAAAAAAAATTTTTTGTAGCACCGTGTTATTATTTTAAAAAACTGTGCATTAATTCGACATTTTTGCCAATTACATAGTAAATAAATAAATATTTGAATAAATTAATAATTGAAAAATTATACTCTGTTCAAAAAAATTAAAGAATATACATTGAAAAAAATTTTTATTTAATTAAATTTAGTTCTTCATTTAAAAATGTGTGGCTAAACTCATCGACAAAATAAAAATAATGAACAATATTATAATTAAATTTTGTGAAAACTTTTAAGATTTTAATTAACTATTTTTTAACAAAACAAATTTATAATTTGGATTAGGTTCTTCAATTTAGCTTTGCCTAAGAATAGAACATAAACAAAGCTGATGGTGACGTAGGGAGAAGGACTAAATATGCGTTTCTCATCATAACATTAATAAACTTATACAAACTTTGAAATCGGATTGTTTCTTGGTATAGAGCGCGAAGCGTAACCATGGAAAAAACGAAGGGAAAAATTTCTAAAACGCAGATCTCATAATATTATGTAACGCAAAATGATTCAATGTACTTATATTTTTATTTTGTTTGCACTTATTTAGAAAGAGAATAAAAATAAAAAAATTAATTAATTTAATTTTAAAACTTTACTTAATAATTTTAAATACATATTTGTTTAAATTTAAAGAACATTTTACTTTATTCCCAATTAATAACTAATGAAATACTTCCAAAAATTTACCAACAGTTTATTTTTTTGACATTAAAAAATTATTTCTATTGTTTTAGAAGCCAATATGTCGGGAATGGAAGCACGTGGCGATGACACAAGCCCCACTCGTGAGCCTAGGTGAGAAATACAAGTATCTATATATCTATATATAAAAACATTTTAAATAAAAAATAATATCAGAGAAAGCAACATTATTTCAACTTTTTTAGCCCCCACAGTGCTGAAACTTTTCTAAAGATTTCCTAAAGATTTATTTGAAATGTTCGGAATATTTAATTGCAATGTTTAGTGAAAATTGTGTAAAAATTTAAATGTTGAATAATAGGCGAAAATTTCATTTAAATGTTCAGGAAAGTTTCGCGCTAAAAATTTATTCCAGTGGGACATTAAAATCTTTACATAATTTTCACTAAACATTGCAATTAAATATTCCGAACATTTCAAATAAATCTTTAGGAAAGTTTCGATGCTGTAGGGGAGATAACTTCAATAATAGTTCATTAATAAACTATTTATCACATTAACTATTCGCATTTATTACATATTTTTATAAATTATTTTTTAAGCCAATAAAATTAATTTTAGTACAATTATATTATTACAATAATAATATGTTTGTTTCTAGTAACAATCAAAGAAAGTTTTTATTTAAATTACAAAGGTAATGTGAATATTTGAATTAAATAAAATGTTTTGTTTGACACAAATAAACACTTCTTATATTATCTCAACACTCAATGATAACAAAATTTATTTCATTTATTTGGACCGTTGCGGAGAGCAACACTTGATTCATTTAACATAAATGCGTAGGCATATTTAATTACTGTTGGAAATGCAGGGGAACGTCCTCCTACAGGAGAGAGTTATATATGAGAGATTCTTTTTCAATCGCCCCAGCCCAAAAAGTCAATGTTCTGGGATTGGCTTCATACTTTGGTAAATTGTTCTCCTATATGATAGTAATAAATCCCTAAAATATAAACTAATTAAAAAAATATTTGTAGAAAGTAGAGGGGGTTGAAGTTTTGACGTTAAGGGTAACATTGTCATTTTCAAATCCGTTTAACTATGACAAAAGTTAATGGATTTTAATTTATCTATAATGAATTTTATTGCATTTTTCACGTACTTTTCAAAAATGTATACGAAATTTAAAAAAAAAAAATTTTAACCCCTTTTTTTTCAAAATCAACCCTTATTTTTCGATTTTCACCCCTTCGGGTATTTTTTTTTTTTTTTTTTTTATTTTCATTGGAAAGCTGAGGTTTTTTCCCATGAGCTATGTAAATATGAAAATGGGACAACAATAATTTTGTGAGTAACAGAATATTAAAGTAGGCGGTGCCGATAAGGGGTGTACCTGGAGATCATCTTTGAGGATTTAGATAGGCACCGCCTAATTTAATATTATGTTTCTCACAAAATTATTGTTGTCCCATTTTCATATTTACATAACTCATGGGAAAAAACCTCAGCTTTCCAATGAAAATAAAAAAAAAACAAAAAAAAATTCCCGAAGGGGTGAAAATCGAAAAATAAGGGTTGATTTTGAAAAAAAAGGGGTCAAAAAATTTTTTTTTTTAAATTTTGTATACATTTTTGAAAAGTACGTGAAAAATGCAATAAAATTCATTATAGATAAATTAAAATCCATTAACTTTTGTCATAGTTAAACGGATTTGAAAATGACAATGTTACCCTTAACGTCAAAACTTCAACCCCCTCTACTTTCTACAAATATGTTTTTAATGAGTTTATATTTTAGGGATTTATTACTATCATATAGGACAACAATTTACCAAAGTATGAAGCCAATCCCAGAACATTGACTTTTTGGGCTGGGGCGATTGAAAAAGAATCTCTCATATATCTATCGTTCCTCGTATATTAAAGTGATTAGTAAAATTATTTTGAACCCCATATAGACAATATATTTGTTCCAACACGAAATGTTTGAAAATAAAATATAGATGATTTTATTATTCTTAAATTTCCGTGCAGAAATTGAAATGTGGGCCTCATGAAGTACTGATCAGATTTCCCTATCTCTCATGCTTTTTTTGAGATTATTTTTATTTTAAATAAATGACAGTTTTTATACTTTTTTTGTTTCTTACTTATATTCTATTTAAAATTGTTACATATATACAGTATATAAAAATACATAAAATTAATATTGAAATATCTCGAACACATGGAGGATCGAACCCAGGACCCTTGGGTTGCGAGCCGTGTACTCTAACCACACAACAATGTTAATCTTATCATTAACACGTCTTCTTTTTGAACACTAAGACTCTATATTACCTTTTTTTTTATATAACAATTTCTGCACGGATTATAAAGGTGAAAAAATGAATTTATTTAGAATATAATCTTTTAGTCTAAATATATATATATATATATATATATATATATATATATATATATATATATATATATATATATATATATATATATATATATATGAAAATTAAATGAAAAAAAAATAATTCTTTTAAATAATTGAATAACAAAATTTTTGGAAAAAATTTCGATAATTTTTAGACGCCCTTTTGATTGGTTAAAGGTATTTAAAAAAAATTTTTTTAGACAAAAAAAATGAAAATGAAAAATAAATTTGACTTTTTTGGATGAAAAACGGGATTAAATAAAAACGTTAGCTCGGGTTGTTTCTTATAAAAACATATAGTTTCACCTTAGAGAAAAAAATATCGTGTCTTTCACTCCAAGAAAATCGAATTTATTTTTCATTTTCATTTTTTGTGGTCAAAAAAAAATTTTTATTCAAAAATACATTTTATCAATCGAAAAGGCGTCAAAAAAACTATCAAAAACTGATAATGGAGAAAATTTGTTTTTTCACCTCGATCACTTTACCTGAAATTTATCACATAATATAGGCCTCGTGAAGAAAAAAGCTTTTACAGTAATTTTTTTTTTCGTCACTCATCCATGATATTGTCATTTTGATTATTATCGATATATTCTAAAAAAAAATTTCATAATAATATTACAAGTAAATAAAAACAAACAAGTTGCGGTGTTTTAGTTTTGCAATGCAAAATAATTGTTGTCATTTTGAGAAAAAAAAAATTGACAATGAAAATGATTAATTATAGTCAAAAGAAACTAATAAACTTTCACTCATATATTTTGCTCTTTTTGAGAAAACTATTTTAATTGGGGTATGAAATAAATTTTCTATATTTAGAAAGATCAGAACGCACAGCGTCGCATTACCAATAAGGACATCACTACTTGCAGAACCACCACCTAAAGGAAATAATGGAGCACCACCAATTCCACGACGTCATTCTGCAACCCCAACGGTACACTAAATTCTAAATTGACATAAATGTAGTTATTAGTCTACTACAAATATAACATTCTTTAATATATATATATATATTTTTTTTTTTCACCTTATTATATATCTAATAATAATTTCATATAGAATTTATGAAATTTTTCACATGTTTACTTTATTGGAAATATATATTATTTTTTAATATAAATTGGTGTATTTAATATTAATGGAGATTATTAACTGAAATTCAATTATTTCCATAATAATGGATTATTGGCTTTTCCGCTATATACAAGTAGATAACTTGATACAACTCATTAGATCCGATAAATATAAATTAAAAAGCACATACATATTTATTTGAAACAAATATATTGTATCTACTTGAACAATTATTAAATAAATATGTATTTGTAACAGAGCTACAATAAACAACTATTTATTATAGGATTGAATAAAATTATTATTTGGAACAAATAAAATTTTATTTATCACAAATAAAACATTTTTATTTGAAACAAATATATATATTTTTTTACCTCTAATATATACAGATATTTAACTTTAAAACTGGAAAAAATATTGATAAAATAATATTATATACAAAAGAAACAAATTCGTTTCAATTAAATGTTTTCTTATTTTTATTTTAACAACAGTAAGGTAAGAAAATCGAATTTTTCCAATCGAAATTAATGACTTTTTTCCCAGTTGAGTAATCCCTCTTAAAACAACACTCAGGAAACTTAAATATTTACACACTGACAATAACACGTAAAATGTATTTTTTTCTTCAACAAAAAGTATTTGCGATATTACAAAAATGTATATGAATGTTTACCATATTAATTTTTACACTGGAAAAAAATTTATTTGATTCAAAAAATCGATTATTTGACTCTTATCAAATAAATATTTACTTGAACCAAATAATTTTTATTAGAATTAAAGAAACTGTATTTGAATCGGGCAAAATTATAGTAACCAGTAATAAGCCAGCACTGGTAGATATTCAAAATTCAGGGTTCTTTTTGCTTTTTACATTAATTGAGCAGCTGGAACGAAGAACCGACTCTTCGCTCGAACCATTAACTATTAATAATAATAATAAATTATTATAATAACTTTTAAATTGTTATTTTTTTATATTAACATTTTACTCTTTATTTCATTAGTCAAATAATTTATCTTCAAATATTATAAAATATATATTAATTATTTGTATTCGTTTAAATTACCGAAATTGACTGAAATTATTGGTTAAAATAGAGTTTATTTGATTCAAATATATTTTTTAAGTGCAAGAAAAAAAATTTGAGAACTTCATTAATAATGTTTTTTTATTATTAAAAAGTTTTAATATTAAATTTAAATTTCATAATTCCGTTTTTTATTTGATTCAAATATATTTTTTCAGTGTAAGAAAAAAAATTTGAGAACTTCATTAATTATGTTTTTTTATTAAAAATAATTTTTTTTTGTTAAATTTAAACTTAGGTAAATAAAAAAAAATTTTCAGGATGAAAATTAGTTTCAACATAAACCTCATTTTAAAAAATTCTGTCCAAAATGTAAATTGAGTTAAAATTCGGTTAAATAAAAGTTTTGTTAAATGTGAATTTGAAATAAAATGGTTTAGATATGAAAATTTGGTTTAAAATAAATTTTACTTTAATATACGATTTAAGGTATACACTAGTGTTGAATTATCCTGAATTATCTGAAGTATTGTGAATTATCATGAATTATCCTGAATTATCTCGAATTAATATGAATTATTCTGAATTATCTGAAGTAATATGAATTATCATGAATTACTTTGAATTATCTCAAATTACTATGAATTATCTTGAAGTATATGAATTATCATGAATTATCTGAAGTATCGTGAATTATCATGAATTATATTGAAATATGAAGTAGACCTTTTAGTAGGTCTTTACATTGATTTTCAAATTCTTACATTAAATAAAACTCGAATTAATATATAAGTTTTAGAATATAATACTCATGCATTTGTTTTACATTATTTATATAAATATTTATAGGTAGCACCTCCACCAATACCATTGAGGCCTCCGGTAATTCCAAAAAGAAATAGAAATGAACGTCCCCTTCTTCCAGCAACGAAAACAATTAATCGTTCAGAAATGAAGAAAAAAACAAACAACGAGACAATTATTACATCGTCCGGTGGGTATTTGGGTCCAATGATGATGATGGAGACATGGCACAATCATTCTGATGTGCAGTGTGAAAAATTGATTAATATCGAGCAGCCGATCAACTTAACAGGTCCATCCAGATTGGAAGCAAAGGAATTTGTCGACAATTCCGATAAGCTCGATTTCAACAAGACACTACTTAAGGACGCCTCGAGCTTTGAGGAACTTCCGAAGACATCCAGGGACATTGAGAATCGTCCTCACGAGAAGATAATCAAGGGTACGGATCTAAACATCGGGGAACTTAAAAAAGTCGAAAACCATTCACAACAATGTTCAACGACACAGAAGTGCAGGTAGGATTCTTGAATTAAATTAAAATATTATATAGTTAATACAAAATAATATTTATGGGTCAATCCATTTTATTTAAACTCACTGACAAAGAAAAATATTTAGTCCGAGCAAACAAAATCTGTTTGGCTAAAACAAATAATTTTGTTAGTTTTGTTAGCAATCAAACTGTTTGGTTGAATAAACAAAATTATTTTGTGGAGTGTTTTTTAAAACGTTTCCATATCAATTACTTCATCTATTGAGAAAATATTTGTTTTTAATAAACATATGGAAATATACGCCTAGCGTAAATTTAGTCTTAAAAGATAATCGAAATAATAGCATAACTAGGTATGACTCAAAATGAATAAAATGTCATTTTTTTTGTGGTTATAATACGGATGCCCGTCGGACCTCGGTACAAATAATAACAATTCAAATTACAGATGAATTCGAAAAACGTATGTTTACATAAAACAGAAAACATCTATATTACCTATTTACATTAACGAAAGAAATACAACGAAATTTAACGTAAACGATCGATACAAAGTAATAGAAAAAGAAGTTAAAACGATCAAAATAAAGAAAACGTTACGTATTGTTCTTTACGCTAGAAGTTTGGTAACGACGCCATTTTTAGTCGCCTTCTACGCAGGTTGATCGCGATTCGCTGACGTGGTAAAACCATGCAGTAAAACTGCTCATAAGGTAATACCTCCTCGTCTGTGGTAAAACCATTTATTGCATCCATATGGGCTTGTAGTAAAATTACTACTTTGAGGTAAGACCTCTTGCCCGTGGTAAGACCACTTCGGACTGCGTGTCCTACTGCGGTAAGACCGATGAAATGCATGCTCGGGATTTCGGTGGGGACCACTACAGCAGCGCGCGTATCGTGAATGGATACTACATATGGTTTTGCTTCGCCGGTAACGTAATTATCGACCTCCGATAAATTTACAAAATAAATATATTATAATTTTCAAACTTTCGTCACAACAAAAACAGCCTGTTTTGTTGCGTCAATCAAATTGTTTTGTAATGCCAACCAAAATATTGTTTTTACAACCAGTAATGATCAACTGAACGATTTTGTTTAGTTCACTAAATTTTTTTTTCTCAGTGTAAAGTTCTCGTCGACTAATTTTGAAAAATTACACTAGGGCTACAATTTCTCAAACGGTTTATCTAAAATTAATAAAAAATTTTTAATGTTAAATGGTTTTATATTCTTTCTGTAATAAAAATAAAAAGTTTCTGAAAATATTATAGAACAAAATAGAATTTATTTATTAAAATTATAAACAATAAAAATATTTAGATGTTTTAAATTAAAAACACAAAAATTAATTCCCAAAGTCTTATATTTTTTTGTTTTTTATTTTTATTATCGTTTTATATTTAATAATAATTAAAAAAATAAATGTTTAATGAAAATAGTATTTCTGCGGAATATTCGAGTGATATATAAAGTGAACAAGTAATTATGAAAGTACTATATATCTTCATGCGCCATTATTTAAAGATTAAATCAGTCATTGTGGTTATGCAATAAACAATTAATTGAATCATTCTATGTTCTAAGAGACTTAAATGTTACAGTTTCTGCATCAGGCTTAAGTCTTTTAGACAATATATAACGGTCGACTTGATGTGCAATGAAGTTTTCATCCGATGGTTTCAGATGCAATGAAATTAGAACGATAATACGCATTTAATGAATCTCTCATATAGACGCAAATTTAAAGTCATTTTATGGAAAACAGATTATGCAAGTTAAAATTGAAATTAAAGAATAATTATCACATCACAATTTAAATTAATTTTCTTTCTAATTAAGAAAAAACATTTTTAAAAAAAACTCCATTCAAAGAGAAAATAATTTTATCAACATCAAAGTAAAAAAAAGATCCATTTTAAAGTAGATAAATTACATTAAGAAAATTAAATCCGCCTTTCTCAGATGAAATAAAAAAAAGTTTACAAAACAAAACAAAATTTATCAAAAAGTTTAAATATAAAAAAAAAGTTTGTTTAAATCGAGGAAATAATGTTGAATAAATTTTTTTTTATTTTAAAACTATGAGTATCCAAAAAATTATATATATATATTTTTTTATTCTTTGTATATAAAGAAAAGAAAAAGATAAAAAAAAGAGAGAGCTTTGAATCGATCGGTTCACAATTGACTTTTGTTACCTTTTAAAAGGATGAAAACATCGCGAAAACCTTTTAAGCAAAGTTTGCTTTCATATATATATATATTTTTTTTTCTTTAGAGGCCAGAACGAGAGGTCAAACCTCCTCGATGGAGATGGGTTATTGAGAAAAAAAGGTTTCTCGCGAGATAAGACTTTTTTAAATAGAGAGATAAATTTTGAGAATATTTCTTGTTTGGCACGAAATCGGCAAGAAATTGAAAAACATTCTAAATTTGAACAATTGCAGGCGGCATCACAAAATTTAGAAAGACATCTTCATCATGATGAAACGTCAACTGTTGTTTATCAACATGTTACAAATAACAATAATGTTGATGATTCTCAAGGATTGCGTGACGATATTGAGAGACATTTTCACGAGATATCACCGAAATTTGATGAATTACAAAAAGCATCACACGAATTAGAGAGAAAATTACAGGAGAAAAGTGTAATTAGTGCAATTGAAAAAACATATCGTCTTAAATATGAGGCAGAATTGGAGAAAGCACGTGTTATGCAAAATAATAATAATTTACACAAAGAAAAGAATAATAGTGAAAAATTAGAAAAATTACCAAAGGCAACACAGACTAATTTACCGCCACCTTTGAGTTCCATTTGTCAAAATTCATCAGTACCAAAGCCCATCAGTGTTCGACAAGACAGCAATGTGTCTTCTGATAGTTTCAGTCAAACAAGTTCACCAAGTTATACGAGTAAAACCATGGAGGCACCATTAATACCACAAAGGCAATCAAATGGGAAAATTCCAGGTAAGAAATTTTTTTTTTAAATCTACAATAATTAGGGGAGAGTGCACAACAATAAGACACTTTAATTTTCTGAAAAAACGACTTAAAAAAATTGTCCTTACTCTAAATGTAAATCATGTTTATATCTCCAAAAATTTTAGCTACACTGATTCATTATTTACAAAAAAAAAAATGAAAAAACTGTTTTTACCATAGCAGAAATTTTTTTGCTTAAAATACAATAATGATTTTTATATAAATATAAGACAGTTTTGTTTTTAAATTTTACTTACTACTTCGTTTACTTAGGCTTCGGAGTTATAGACAATTAAAAAAAGGTAGTCAGGGTTGCACTGTAAAAAGAAAGGTATTAATTTAATACCGATTTCAGGTACTAAATTGTCATTTGGTACCTAAAATCGGTATTGTTTTAGTACTTTCTTTTTACAGTGTGAGCCACTGTAGAAAATCAATGAAATATGCAGATAAATGATTAATAATGACCTTTAAATGATAGAATGGCGCTCAAATACACTTGGAAATGAGAAAAAGAACCATGAAATTGAAATAAAAAGCCCTTATTAAATGTCGACATTTTTGCGATTAGATTTTCGCTTATATCACAAAGCTGGTCTGAAAAGTGAAAAAAGATTTTGAAAAATTTGTATTTCCTTTCTTTCCAATGAAAGTGGAGTTTTTAACACATCTTTAAGTCGAAAAATGAATTTCCATTGCAAGAACGCTTCATAATTGCAAAATTTTGGGTGGCTCAATTCTGACTCACGCGTCGTTTAATGTTATATCACACACAAAATAAACGCGTGATACAAACACCAAATTACGCTCCTTATTTTCATATAACATCTTAATAAATAATTCTAGTCAACTTACTTTGTCTTTGACATATTTTTTCTGTACTTAATTGTCTTCTTTTGAAAAAACAAAAAAGTTTTTTAATGTGCGTATAGCACTGACTCGCATAATACGTCTTTATTGTTCGCATACTTTACTGCAACACATGTGAAAAGTTCGCTGACATTGCTAACAAGTACTTACATACAAAGACAGATGGCGCTAGTGTGATAAAACAAAATAAACGCGATGGCTCAACTCTGACAACTGTCCAACCCTGACTACTATCCCCTACTTTCTTGTAATTGCTTGTGCTCAAAAATTAACCCTTAGATTGTAAGGTGGTTTTAGATCTACCTTGACTGTAACCATAGGTCACTCGTGCCCGGCGCTTTAAAAAATCGGACAAAATTCATAATGTTGCATTAACTATCGTAGAATAAGAACCAATCATTATATTGTTGAAATGTTTATTTGTTTAAATAATATATTTGTTTAAACAAACAAAAATAAATTTTTCCAAAAAAATCATAATTTTTAATAAAATCAATATTTTTTAAAATTTCAAACGCCATGAGTAAAGCTTAAAAGTGGTAGTTTAATGGGGCCGTCCAGATACCACGTGGACAATTTTTCATCACTTTTTGACCCCCCCTCCCCCCCTCGTGGACAATTGTGGACTTTTGACGAACCCCCCACCCCCCCTAAATGTCCACGTGGACTTTTTTTGGTGAAAATTTTTTGTTTGTATGTTTCATATTTTAAAATGGTAAATAAATAGATATTTAATAGTTATTAGAAAACATTTAGTCACTGTTTCTTTTAATTATAAAAATAATTTTCAAGTTTACTGCTAGTAAACTTAAAATTTTGCTAAGCAAAATAACATTTTTGGTTGAATCACATAACAATCACATTGGTAACACATCTTAGAATAACGTTTACCAACTAAATACCATTATTTTTAGGGTTCCGTACTCGGTTCGGAACCCTATTAATATCGGTTTTTTTGAAATCGTGTACCCCCCCCCCTAGCGGCCACATAAATTTATCTGGAGGGCTGAAAATTAGTACACATATGTATTTTCGCGTGTAGATTACAGGAAAATTATAGCGAACTTGATTGGAATTGATTAACATAGCGTTGTCAAGGAAAAACCATGAATTTTTACGAAAAATGCCTAAAAATGACTATGTACCCCCCCCCTAGCGGCCACATCTTTTGACATAAAGAGCTCAAATTTGACACACTTACGTATTTTTACGTGAAAATTACAGGAAAATTATAGCGAACTTGATTCGGATCAATTTACATAGCGTTGTCAAGGAAAAATCAAAAATTTCGAAAAAAATAATTTATTCTCCCTAGCGCACACAATATTCAACCCAGACAGATCATATTTAGTATACAAATGTATTTTTACGGGAAAAATACAGGGGAAAAAAAGCGGTCACGATTAGAGTTGATGATTAACTTTTTATCAAGTTTTTCAAGAAAAAATGACAATTTTAGAAAAAAAATGTATTTTTCCACCAAAAACGAACAAAATTTTATTTAAAGGAAATTAAATTTATATATTTTAACGTATTTTTACGTGTAGATTACAAGAAAAATATAGCGAGCATGATTGGAGTTGATTATCATAGCGTTGTCAAGGAAAAACCATGAATTTTTACGAAAAATACCTAAAAATGAGTATGTACCCCCCCCCCCTAGCGGCCACATCTTTTGACATAAAGAGCTCAAATTTGACACACTTACGTATTTTTACGTGAAAATTACAGGAAAATTATAGCGAACTTGATTCGGATTAATTTACATAGCGTTGTCAAGGAAAAATCAAAAATTTCGAAAAAAATGATTTATTCTCCCTAGCGCACACAATATTCAATCCAGACTGTTCATACTTGCTGTAAAACTCAATTTTTGCGTGAAAAATACAGGGAAAAAATGTAAGCGCGATTGGAGTTGATGATCAATTTTTATCAAATTTTTGAAGAAAAATGATAAATTTCAGAAAAAAATGTATTTTTCCGCAAAAAACGAAAAAAGTTTTTCTACAGTGATTCAAATTTATATATTTTGACGTATTTTTACGTGTAGATTACAAAAAAAATATAGCGAGGATGATTGGAGTTGATTTTTCTGGAATTAATAAACAAATTTTATTTTTTAGATAACTTTCGATTTTTCCTTGACAAGCAGCTACTAGCCTTATATCAATATCTTAAGTTTTATCTCTTTTTGACTTAGAAAGATAAAATTTAATATTCAATATATTTTTAAAATGTAAATACAATAAAAATATTGCGAGTTGAAATAAAATTATGTTTCTTATATTTTTTTAGTAAAATATTTTTTAAAAAATAAAATCGGACAAGTGCGAGTTACACTCGCACTGAAATCGAGGGTTCCGTACTCGAAGCGAACTTATTTGGTATAAAAACAAATGTTTAAAAAATATGTGTTGTATGACAACTAATATAAGTGATACAAAAAGGAACAATTTTGTAAAATTCAAGAAAATTGTTCCTTTTTGTATCACTTATATTAGTTGTCATACAACACATATTTTTTAAACATTTGTTTTTATACCAAATAAGTTCGCTTCGAGTACGGAACCCTCGATTTCAGTGCGAGTGTAACTCGCACTTGTCCGATTTTATTTGGTATCGTGAAGATATTTTTGGCAAAAATATTTCAAATTACTCTACAAACTAAAAATACATAAATCTTTTTGGCAACAAATCTTAAATTATTATCGATCACTATAACTAAAAATACAATGTATGGTAGAATTAAAATATTTATGCCAGGAATATCTGAAAATTATCGTATAAAATAAAAGTAGGTAAATCTTTATGGTAACAAATCTTAAAATAATATCGAAAAAACCACAAATCTACTAATCGTCATCTATATTATCATTGCTGATCCATGGTTGTGTTAACCATTCGGCAAGATTATCAGTTGCGAAAAAATCAATGGAGCTCTCTGAAGTTACATTATATTTTCCATCTCTACACAACAAGTTCCGTTTCTTCATCCCAATCCTCTGTATTTCTTTTACGTTGATTTTTATATAATATTTTAACGTGAGTAGTTAAGTGCGACTTTGCGGCAAAATAAAGGCCACATTCACTGCATATGCATTTTAAAATTTTAAAAACAGTCTGTTAGTTGATTAAAGTATTTTGAGTCAATAGTAGTTTCAAAATTCAAGATGTATTTCAAATCAAAATTTGTTACGCTGAGTATCAAAATTTTTTATCGGAGTCCTATTTGTGGAATCTTTTTAAGGGGTCACTTACCTTCCCAGTAAAAAATAAAAGATACAAGAAAAGTGGATTCCGGTTACAAGCTCAATAGCTGGTAAACGAATCCCTGAGAATCTCGGATACAAGCACTTTTCCGTATCCAAAATGCTCATAAGTTTGTAAACGCACTGAAACGAACGACTTTTGTAGGGCTTTTAATCAAGAAAAACAAGTAAATGAATGCAGAAACGTTGGGAAATTAAATTAGAAGCAAAAATAAATAATTATGTTTTAAAGAAACGTACACTTAAACAAAAAACAATTATTCTTACTAATTCTAACTTCTGCATTAAAAACATTGTGAAGGCAGTGTTTTGTTGGCGATTTTACCTTGTTATTCGGAAAATATGGTTTTCTATCTTACCGACATTGGATATTAATTTAACGCGGTTTTTTTTGATTTTCTAATTTCAAAAGCAATTCAAAATAATCAAAATGTTATTAAACATAATTAAGTGCTAATTTTTAATTTCCTTTACCACTTTTTATTAAATAATTTTATATTTCTATTGAAATTGAAAATTCGACAAAACCTGCGTTAAATTAATATCCAATGTCGGTAAGGTAGAAAACCATATTTTCCCAATAACAAGGTAAAATTACCAAGAAAACACTGTTTTTCCAATGTTTTCAACGCAGGGGTTAGAATTAGTAAGAATAATTGTTTTATGTTTAAATGTATTTTTCTTTAATAAAGAATCATTTATTTTTGCTACTAATTTCATTTCCCATCGTTTCTGGATCCATTTAATTGCTTTTTCTTGATTAAAAGCTTTACAAAAGTCGTCCGTTTCAGTGCGTTTACAAGCTGTACATCATTTCGGATATCGAAAACTGCTCGTATCCGAGATTCTCACGGATTCGTTTACCAGCTATTGATCTTGTAACCGGAATCCGCTGTTCTTGCATCTTTTATTTTTTACTGGGTTGCAGTACAGGTAGTACTGAAGGGCAGTACAAATCATAAGGGAGATTTTGAGGTAAATCATTCACAGTAGGTCTTAAATTCATTAAAAATGAAATTGTAATTTATGAGAATTCGGATTTAGGCGGGTTTGTTATGATTTCTCACGTGTAGCACACCAGCCGGCGTATATTGATTCGATAAAACTCAAACGAAATCGATAAAAATATCGAATGACTTGCGCAGCGCTGCATAATACACTGGCGCGAAATTTAAAAGAGGGATAAAAAACAATAAATAAAATTTCATTTTTACTGGGTCCACGTGGATATTTGCTTTGACCTCCCCCCCTCGTGGACAATCGTGAACTTTTGACGAACCCCCCCTCCCCCAAAACTGTCCACGTGGTATATGGACGGCCCCATTAAGGGGAAAAAAAATACTGAAAGTCTGTATGAATAAAAGCTAGCAAGGGGTGTCATTTTTCGAAAGGCACGAGTGACCCATGGTTAAGGGTTAAACACTCAACAATGAGACAGGCAAAAGTTTAAGTTTATGAAACAGAGAAAAAAAATTTACGTCTGACTAAAACTAATCTCCACTACTATGTAATTCCAAAATATGAAATAATAATATGTAGTTCCCATAATGGTCAATATTAACTGTGGAAAATCTTTTAAAATAAGTAAATATTTATAAATATTAATAAAAAAACATTTATCAGTTAAAAAACCCAATTAAATTATTCCTATGACTTTTTAGAAAAATTTAAAAAAATGGTCATCAAGCAAATTACTGAAAATTATTTTTGTACAGAATTTCTATACATTTTAAAAAGTTGAATAAAATAATATATGAAGAAATAGTTTGAAAATATATAATTATGAATGAAAGTTTTGTTTAAATTGCAGATAGAGCATTGACTGAACACCCACCAGGAAGCCCAATCACAAAATCTATGAGCACTCCAGCTAGTTTACAAACGATTGTGAGATTTCACAGTGGCAGCAATATGTCCTTCAACCATAAAGTGAGTAGTCCTTAAATTCCCTTAAAGTGCATTTCAGAATCGATCTTTGAAAGAGAATGAAACTGTATCTATATATATATGTATATATATATATATATATATATAGAATGCTCAATTATAGTTTGAGGAACTTTAATGATCATTGTTTGACGTTCCATTTTGATAATAACTACACATTGTCTTAAATGGGGCGGTATAGATTCTACACAAATAAACCCTACACGAGAAAATTGCGCACCGATAATTTTACAAAAAAAATCCTACACTTGGACAATAAGCAAAATAAAATTAATTAACAAATTTTTACTTTACACAATTAAATCAAACATAATTTTATTCTACACATTCAATTGCACACAGGAAAACCCTACACCGTTAACTCTGAAAAAAAATCGTGTAGGGTTTTCCTGAGTGCAATTTAATTTGTACGGTTATATTTTGTAGTATTTAATCGTTTAGAAATTTTATTATTTGTTTTTAAATTTTATTCCGCATATTATTGTGTAGAATTTTTTTTTTCAGAGTTAACGGTGTAGGGTTTTCCTGTGTGCAATTGAATGTGTAGAATAAAATTATGTTTGATTTAGGGCCAGTTTCATCAACTCCGGTTAAAAGTTAATCAGCTATTAAATCCCTAACCGACCAATCATGAGCGGTTAAATTGGCTTTAATCGCTGATTAACTTTTAACCATAGTTGGTGAAACCGGCCCTTAATTGTGTAAAGTAAAAATTTGTTAATTAATTTTATTTTGCTTATTGTCCAAGTGTAGGATTTTTTTTTTTGTAAAATTATCGGTGCGCAATTTTCTCGTGTAGGGTTTATTTGTGTAGAATCTATACTGCTCTAATCAGACTTTAGTTGGCACAACGAAAATTTAGTTGAAACAAAAATTTGGTTGCACATTATGATATTAAACAAAATATTTTGTTGTCAACTAAATTCTTTTTTCTCAGTGCAAATAGTCTATTGTGCCAGAAAATGTTTATTTATTTAATTTTTAAGTAAAAATATAGTCTATACACTGAGAAAAATGTTTAGTATCATCTACCAAAGTTTGGTTCTCTCTACCAAATTTTTTATTTGATATATGTGCAACTAATCGATCCGTTTGGTTCGGGCTACTAAATTTTTTCGTTGAATCATTTTGTTCGGTCTACCAAATTTTTTGTTTTGCACAACTAACTTATTGTTTTTAAACAAACAAAAAATTTAGTTAAATAAAAATTTTTTTTTTGTTTTCTCAACCAACTTATTTTTTTGTTTCACCCTTTTCTCTTTATATAACCTATACCTATGCCTACTTAAATTAATTTCTATCGCGGAAAAAACCTAACACTGCTGGGGCTCGAACCCTCAGACTACGCAACGCTAGTCGAGAACGCTGACCACTACTCTACGAATCCTACTAACAATTTGAGATTAAATCATTTTCACAATGTATAAAAGCTGGAAAAAAACTTTCGTTCTTGTAACAAGTTTTATTTATTTATTTTCACTACACAAACTTTTTTTTTTAAAAAATGTCTGAAAAACATAAAAACTTCAACACTGAAACTTCACGACGCGAACGACATATGGTTAATGTTGACATCCCGTGAATGGGAAGCGACGCCATATTTACGAGAAGAGCGCGTGCGCAATACAGCATGTCAGCTATTTAGTACTGGGAACCAAACTATTTAGTTCGTAAACATGAAAGCTTCAAATATATTTTTTGGTAGAGCCAACTAAACTTCCCGATTTATTGCCACTTTCTATTCTGTTGTGACAACCATATTTTAGTAACGCCAACTAAAAAAGCTCAACTAAATTATTTTCTTATTATTACGAAATTATTTTTCTCAGTGTAGTTTAAGAGTTTTTGTTTTAAAGAAAAACATTATTTTATAACATAAATAGTTAAAAGTTAATTTTTAACAAAAATAGCCATATTTGTAAAATATTGGAGGATAAATTCCTAAACTTTGAAAAAAGTTCATTTTGGGAAAATTTTTACTATTCACCAAAGTTTAGCATTCAAAAAAAGATATAGGTATATGTTTTTTTTAGAAATCTTTTTTCCATAACATTTTTATTCTAAAGACACTTTATTTTCACTACGCTGTATGTAATGGAGTAATCATAAGTAGAAAAAGCAGAGTTTCGTCAGACATATATATATATAATTTTCTTATAGAAGACGAAGTTGCATTTGTTGCAGAAAAAAATTTAATTTCTAACAATAAATAAAAAAATATTAATGTCAAAAAAAGATTTGACAAATAACTTGACGAAATATACAACTTTTTAAAGTAGAAAAATTACAGTTTTGTCAGACGAATTTTTTTTTTGCATTTATAATTTTAAATGGTTAATACAATATTTATCTTAAAAAGTTGGTAATATTCTATTTTAATATTTTAGATACTAAATAAATTAATTTTGCAAAAAAAAATCCATTTTTAAGTAGAAAAAGTATACAATTATTTTTTAAGTGAAAAAAGCAACATTTTTGTCAGACAGAAAATGATATTATACAATTTATTATTATTATTAAATTATCTATCTTTAATGGATAAAATTAATTTTTTTTTCAAAAAAATTTTTCTTTTTATTGTGCAGATAATTAGAGATATGAGAAGACCCAGTAGTCATTTTGTAACGAGAGGAAGATTTCGATTTAGGTTTGCTCAAGTTCTCGCGAACGTAATAGCATTAATGGTCATTGCTGGTGGCTTGGCAGCATATTTTAAAAGTAAGTGCAACTTCTTTTTTCATGAAAAGTGTTGTCAAGCATATTTACTGATGCCAAAAATAAAAAAAAACAAAATGTCTTCAGATAGTTTAATACTCTTTTTATATTTTTATAAAGAATGATTTACTCTCTAAATTTGAATTAGCTAAAATTTCACTGTTTGAATCAGCGAATAAAGTTTTCACTGCAAATCAGCGGATACAGCTAATAAAATAGCGAAACACGAATCGGCGAACGTCGGTCATTTTCGTCGGAAGATAAATTTATTTTTAAAATGGAGTATTTCGCTGATTGAAATAGTTGTTAGTCGCTGATTCGCAGCTGCATACTTATAGCTTTTTCAATCAGCGACTATTCGCTGCCAATCAGCGGATTTTAGCTGATTCAAATTTAGAGAGTATTCGTAAAATTTAACAAATAATAATGCACTCAGAGAAAAAATTTCTTTCATTTAAAGAAACGAATGTTTTTCTTTTATTAAAAATAAAATTTTCTTTGAATGAAAGAAATTTGTGCATTAAATCAAAGAAATGCTAACATTGATATAGGGTCAAACACAGTTCAAATGTAAACTTGCAGCAACGTTGCGGCAAGCTTGCCGCGCAATATTGCCAACCTTGCACGGCAAACTTGCTGCAAGCATCAAATATTCCACCAGACCCAAGATTACCGAAAGATGTCAGTGTAAGGTTAATGCAACCTTGCTACAAGCATACCGTGCAAGCTTACTGAGTAATATCTTGCGATTATCTTATTGTGCAATCTTGTAGTAACCTTACACTGCAACCTTTCGGTAAGCTTACAATACAAGTGAGGGTCAGGTGGGACATTTAAAGCTTGCACTGAGCTTGCGGTAAGTTTGCTCTACAAGTTTGGCAATACTGCGCGGAAAGCTTGCCCCAATGTTGCTGCAAATTCAGGTGCTATTTGGAAAGAAGCATTTATTTGAATTAAATAAAAAATTTATTTGAAACGAAGATAATTTTTTTTTTAATCAAAGATAGTTTGTTTGAAACAAATATATTTTCTTTGTATCAAAGAAAAATTTGTCAAAGAAATTGATTTTTTCATTCTAAAAAATTATTTCTTTAATAATCGTTTATCATAAACGTTGCGTACTTTAGCATCGTATAATTTCTCTATTTGAAACAAATATCATTTGATAATTATATGATACAAATAAATATTTATTTAATAATAGTCAAATAATCAATTATTTGAATCAAATAAATTTTTTTTCAGTGTTAAAGTAAATATATATATAGAACGTGTCTACGAATAAAGAGAGAAATTTAAAATCGCATAGTTATCAAAATTTTTGTCTTCATCACACAATACCATATATATGATTTCAAGAATATGATGACTGTTTCAAAGTGTTCTGGAAGTTATTATATTGGCATCTCGAATGAAGAGAGATACAAATGTTCTGTCTTTCTCTCTGTGTCGTATATCTATGTTTATATAGACGAGAGAGGGAGAGAGAGAAAGAGCGATGAGCTTTGTAACCAACGAGGATCAATAGTCTTCTCATGTACCAACTTCTGTCAACAAGTTCACAAATACTATATATATATATATGTATATACAATATTGACAATGTGGTACAGAATCTTACATATCAACTTTTTACTATACATCATTATTCTAAATTCAAATGAAAAAATATTCCAAAACACTCTCCTCTGCTAAATATATTATAGAAAATATATAAATTTATCATTAATCAATAAATATTTTTTATTATTATTTACTATGAATAATAATAATAAATATAAAACAAATTAAAATTTTGATTATAATTTCTTTTAATCAATTTTGCGAAAAAAATGATTTTTATTGATTTACTTCATTTTTGAATTATATACGAGAGATTAAAATTAAACTCCATTATAATAGCAATAAAAAATTTAAACTTTCTCTTAATCTTTTAATCATTTAACGAGAGAGGGAGGAAGGGAGAAATCTGGGTTTACCCTGGAAAGTGAATTGTAGGAGATATGTGTGTACGTAATCTGTGGACCATTTTGAAACCATCTCTTTCTATATATATATATATATACCAATATATACAGATATATATATATATATAGAGTTGCTGGTGTACTATATAGTGGTTTAAATTACGATCCGGGAAAGAGAATAGTAGTTACGAAGGGGATGATTTTCGTATGAGTATATTGCTTCGGGATTTCTCTTTTTCGACTATTTCACATGACCAGCAAAACTCGCGCACTGTTATTTAACGACATTTTTCATTCACTCTTTAACTTTCGAGACAGCTATCTATGTACATGATTCCCATAAATTGATCAAGTCGACAATTTTAACCCTCTCTTGGAAATATTTATATATCTCCAAACTCTATATACGCTTTGCAGTTGATTTAATTTCACTTTTTATTGTATTTTCAAAATTTACTTCTTTAATCAAAAAAGGTGTTCTCTTCACATTTTCAAGCGTTATATACACTGAGAAAAAAATATATTTGATTCAAATGATCGATTACTTGATCAAATAAATATTTATTTCTATTAAATAATTGGTTGTGATAGGTACACTTTTTCTAAAAAATAATTTCTATTTTTTTTTTAAACTTTTTTTTTAACAAAGTTTAATTTAAAAAATTTTTTTCTATAAACAAATTCAATTTATAATAACGAATTTAAATACAAATATTACAGTTCAGATTGAAATTAAATAGAAATTGTTTTTTGTTATTCGTAAGGGAGAAGGCATATCAGTTGTTCGTTATAAAGTCAAAAATAAAATATTTGAATTTAAAAATATTATAAACTATTACAACAATTTTGAGAATTAAAAGTTTTCAGAAATATATATTTTAAAAAACCAATTTTGATAGAAAAAACTTTTTTTTAGAAAATCGATTTCATTAGAAATTGCCTTTTTTAGAAAAAAAAAGTATTAGAAAATATTTTTCAAAAAAAGTGACCACTTACCAAATAATTATTATTTGTGTCAATTAAATGGCATTTGTTTTGAATACAAAAATTGTTGATTCAAATATACAATTTATATTGTAATACAAATTTATTTAATTCAAATAAAATTTGTTTGATAATAGTCAAGTAACGAATTATATTTGAATGAAATAATTTTTTTTTAATTATTTACGTAATAAACTTTTATATAGAGAAAAAAAAATTTAGTGCTTATACAAAAAAAAAAAGTTATTTCTTCTCTGAAAATAAAGATTTATTCTTTCAACTCAAAAAAAGTAATTTACTACCTATAAATAATACAATTCATTGAAATTTTGGTCTTAAAAATGAATCATGAAAATTTAAATTTCCCAGAAAAAATTGTACAAAACAATATATAAACCAGAAAAAGAATATTTTTTTTTTTTTAATTATGCTTTCAATTAATATTATGATTATTATGAAATTACATATTAAAATTCTCACAGGTTATACCACAAATACTGTAAGAATGGAAAATATATACACGACAAGTACACTTATGGTGCCAAAACCAATTAAATCTGTGATGGAAGAAAAAAATCCATCGCCCGGTGTATGCCTCCCAGTTATCGTTAACTTCTGCCAATATCACAAGGTAAACTTTTTCTTCTTTCTAATTTTATCGTTATAAAGAAATTATAAAGATATTTCTATATAATTTAAAAAAAAAATTCTCAGTCACTAACCGTTGTAGGTATTAGTGGTGAATGTAAATCAATACTATTTAACACTTTTTTTTTTTGATAAACATGTCAGAGGAAAAATATAGAAAGTTTCATGAATTTGAGAAACTTAATTTCATCTTATCTAATGTCGCAGAAAATGACATTTTGCAACTCCTCTGTACCTATACTTTCATCGATCCACCAGTTCTCAGTTGAATGTCGTACTAAAATTCGTAAAATGAGGTCATTATGAAAAGAGAATTTCATTTTCAGAAGAAAAAAATTCTTGGTACACTACTTAAAAGTTATTCTGTTAGATAATTTGACGCTTCTTCTTGTAATTAAAACAAGTTCTCGAATTAAAAAAAAAAAAAAAATTCATAATTGATAGAAACTTTTTTCATATTAAGTAATTTTAGACATTAATAAATTAAATTAATTTTTAAAATTAATTTTTAAATCACTATAAACGAAAAAAATTAATTCGACTTTTTGATATAAAAAATAAAAAAATATTAACAAATTCTGAAATAATTGATTTCACAATTTGGACTATTATAAATATTATTTTTATAGATACAAAATTTTACAATAATCTTTTTTTACAATAAAAAACTCGACTCTTTGAAATTTATTTTTAGCTTTCATAAAAAAAAAAAAATGTAAAAATGAATGTATGCATTTGTAACATGTCGAGATGAGGGCTTTTAAAAAAAAACGTGTAAAAGCCATTTACACCACAGGGGGAAAAAATTCAAATACCTTGTGAATTCATTTTTCTTATATATATATATATATGTTTCGCATACAAATTTTTTTTCTTTAAATAGAATATTATTACCAAAATTAAAAAAAATAATTTTCTTTAATTATTAACTGTTTAGATACCATACAATTTCACAATGTTTCCAAATTTTATGGGTAACTTTGATCAACGCGAGGCACAACATGAATTAGAACATTATGATGCAGTTGTCGATGTAAGATGTTATGAATTAGCAGCTTTATTTTTATGCACTGTTTTTGTACCAAAATGCGGTCCTGGTGGTAATTTAATACGACCCTGTCGAAGTCTCTGCTATCGTAAGTAAAAAAAAAATTCATTTCAAATAATTGCAAAATAAATTAATTCTTTTAATTAATTTTTTAATGTATAATGTCCTATGTAAAATTTAAAAATTTTTTTATACTGCATATACATTTTAGAATATAAAGCCGTTAAGAAAAAAATTACATTCAATTAGAAAAAAGTTAATTAATAATAATTATTTACTTAAATAATAATTACGTGTATTGAGATATATGAATTTGAATGTTAATAGCGCATTGTTTTCAGTAAAGATTTTTAATTAATAAAAATAAAAATTTATATTAATTAATAAAAATATTAATTATTCAATTATTACATATAATTAAATAATAAGTAATTTATTAATTAACTTCTTTCCAATTAGTGTTATTTTTTAAAGAATTGTATGCGGAATACAAATCAATTTTTAAATTTTACATAGAACACAAAGAACACTGTTTTTTATTAACATTTTATAAATGAACAATTTAAACAGCTATTTAAAATAAAATTGTCTTTAAAACAAAAAAAAAAAACTCGTTTTTGTAGGATATTTATTTAATTTTAATTTAATAATTTACTATAAATTTCAATGTAAAATTTCTATTTTATAAGTAAAAATAAATAACGAAAAAATTAATTTATTTTGAAATCATTATTTTTGTTGATGATTATTATTTTACTCCATTTTCAATTAACTTTGATTGAAAATTTTTTACGAGGCCTATTAAACGGTTATTATATTTGCTGTTTATTGAAAATTTAATGTACAATGTTTCGATGCATTGTCCATCCTCTTCAGGTATAATTTGTTATTTCAAAATATCAAACATCAAATATAAGGCCACGTGGATATTAAAAGAAACACCTATAAATTATTACCCACACAGCACAGTATATTGCTGTAAGCTTACCTCAAGCTTACATGTAATTTTTGTAAGCTAACCCTGTAAGCTTCAGGTGAGGTCGAGGTAATATAAAAATGTCCGCCATACAGTAAGCTTACACAGTAAGGCCATAGTAAACTTACATGGCAAAGTCACTGTAAGGTTACAGTAAGCTTACACGGCAAGTTTTCAAAGGTATCAATAAATAATTTTTTAAAAATATTTATGCGCAGTAGCTTTCTATGGCACTTACGAATGCGCAGTAAATTTTTTTAAGCAAACCTTACTGGGGTTTTTTTTATATAAATGACAAAATAAATATAATTGTGCAAAACAATTTATTGTTTACTGTAAGTTGATAAATTAATACTTTGTTATTTGTTAGCAATTAATATAAGCTTACCGTGTAAGCTTACTGTAACCTTACAGTGATCTTACCGTGTTAGCTTACAGTGCCCCTACCGTGTAAGCTTACCATGACTTTACCATGTAAGTTTACCATGGCATTACTGTGTAAGCTTACTGTATCGCGGACATTTTTATATTACCTCGACCTTACCTGAAGCTTACAGGGTTAGCTTACAAAAATTACATGTAAGCTTGAGGTAAGCTTACAGCAATATACTGTGCTGTGTGGGTAGAATACATTAGCAAGAGCGATCCTACACGATATTTAAATAAATTTAAATTTAAATGTAATACACGTATATTAAAGTTACCTCATAAAGAGGGTTTCTAAAATTTAAAATTTACATTTTTTTTAGAAAATTTTTTAGAATATGTCAAAAAGTGTCAAGAAAATTTGAGGTTAAGTTGAATGAAATGAAATATAGAGTGATAATCAGATAATTACAGGTTAAAATCGATTACAATATCTAAAATGTGAAATAATTGATTATTGATGTTCGACTATTGATCTAGATTTAATTTGAAATTAATAGTGAAAATTTGAAATTAATATAGTATACGATTGACTCATACCTGCAATATCAGTATTAAAATTTACTGTTGAGTTTAAATTTTTCTGTATGTGTATCATTTCCAAATATTTTCTTTTAAACTCATTAGTTTCAACATCCAAAATTGAAATATCTTGAAAATTGAAACAATTTTTATATTGAGTAGCATCCCGAGTCGAAATTTTTCCCTCTTTTCACCCTCGATTTTCTCAGCTTCTTTTCAGCCTGAAATCATGCGCTTATTTCCAAATCTGCATGTTTAGAGGTTGAAAAGAGGTCTTGGAATTTTTTCTTAATTTAAATTTTTCCAAGTTTTATTCCTCCTAAAAGTTTTATAGTATTACGACAAAGATCAATAAATATATCTTCAATAGGGTCAAAAAATAATGTCCATAAGAAAAAAAAATCCAATTTTTACATTTTTTTAATTTTATTTTTTCGTTTTTTTAACCTCTTTTACGCCTCTCTAGTCATCTTTAAACCCTCCTTTCAGCCTCCAATATAGTAGATATTTCCACTTTTGCAAATTCGAGGTCGAAAAGAGGGTATGAAAGTGTTGGAGAGAATAAAAGGAGGTTTTTAGAGAACTTATAGAGAATCTAAATTTCGACTCGGGATGTGAGCAAAGGCCAGTGTTAGTATTTTTATTTTGGACGGATCTCTCGTGCTCATGAACTCTATCACCTAAATGACGCATAGTCTGACCAATGTATAATTTTTCACATTTATTACATGGAATCTCATAAACACAATGATTTCTTTTCATTAAAGGAACATTATCTTTAAAATTATGTGGCAAAAAAATTTTTTGCAAAGTTTTGTCTATTGAAAAAACTATTGTTGAGTTTGTTTTTCATTATTTTTGTTTAAAAATATAAATTTATGATGAACATTTAATTGAAAAAATAAAATAAAAATAAATTGCAAATAATTTTTGAAAGATTGTAATAATTTTTTTTTGTTTAAATCCTATTTTTACAGAGACAAAAAGACGCTGTGGTTTTTTTTTGAAAGTTTTTGGTCTGACATTACCGGATTACATGGAATGCGATTTGTTTCCGGAAAATTCGGATTCGAATGTATGCGTTGGACATAAAGAGGTTTTGGAAGCTGAGAAAAGAGCTGAAAGACCTGGTGAGTAAAGATTACATAATCTTTGATTTAAGTTATTGCGTGAGAAACACTGTTGCAGTCAGGATATATAAAATTTTTTTTTCATTATACTAAAAAAAAAAAAAAAGGAAAAAAAATTGTCCACAAGAAACAAGAATGAGGATAGGTTTCTTATTACCCATGGTTCTAAATTTTAATCTAAAATTCAAGTGTCACATTAATCTTCTCATATAACCGCCTTCAACTAACGTTTCCCAAAGGGCTTGAAAATTGAAAAATGAGAGACACGATTTATACGTCTGTGATTTTTGTCTTCAAATAAAAATTACGTTATAAAACAAGGTTAACTTGAATTTTTTTCTTTTTTTAATTTAATTTCGAGAGAGGAATTTTATTAAAGATTCATTTTTTTTTTAATTTGCTTGAAAAAATATTGAAAAATTAAATGGAAAAAGAATTAATTAATTAAAAAATTAATTTCAAATTTCACAATTATTATTCTGCGAGAAAGTTTTTTACTTCTCTTGAAAACTAAATGGAAGTTATTTGTCGATGTCAAAAGTGCAAGTAAAGGGTGTTTTCGCGTTGGTGAAATATCCGAGCGAGAGCGACAAAAGACGCGAGAACAATGCTTTCCGGGCAATATTTATGTCAGCCGATCGGAAGATAGAGGAGATCTAACAGTGCGCGAAACCCCTTTTGTCTCTCACGGATGGAAGACTTTTCCTTCCTATATATAGGTATATAATCCTGATTCCCATTTCCGCGTGTATTTTTACTCCGATGTTTTCAGGAAACAAGGCTAATTGTCAATATAATGCTATTGACTCACTTGTTTTCTTTATGAAGTTTTTATTTTTCCGAAATTAATATAACAAAAAAAAATATAAAAATTTAATCATATAGATATATTGAAAACAAAAAATATATATTATTATATAAAAGATAAAATCACAGTTAATGAGCTTTCAGCTACTGATTTTCTCTTCTTTTTTTTTAAATCGGCTTAACTTTGTCTGCATTCGAATTTATTTGACATTTTTTCATTCATTTTTTTAAATTTTTATTCTCAGTGTATAATGGAATTTTTAAATTGATATTTTTACTCATACTCATAAATAAATCCATAAAAAATAAATCTAATAAATAAATAATCCATATTCTCTAAAAAGTTTAGAATTTATTTTTTAAATTGAAATTAGTGAAAATTTCTACTAATTTGAATTAGTGAATGAATTCTCTACAAATATCTGGAATTATTTCACAATTAAATGATACAATAATTGATAGATTCTGTTCATGAGTAATTTTAATTACTGTTTCAATTTTTTTTTTTTTTTTTTTTTTTTTTTTTTTTGATTAAAAATATTGTAATTTTGAATTTTTTTTGTTTGGAAATTTTAATTAAATTATAATTAATAATATAAATAAATAACTAATTTAAAAAAAATGGCTTTTAAAGGATACTAAAATTTAAATATAGTTAAATTAAAAAAAGTTAATTCAAACATTATCGCAGATTTTGAGAAGGGAATAAACATTTATGAGATTCTTTAATATGAGTTAAAATAGTTGAATGTGAGCAGTATAGAATTAGTGTGATATGTGAATATATATTACAAAAGAGAGGCATTTTAATTTCCTAGAGAAGTAATTATGTTGCGACTCGACTGCATTTCTGTATGGGACGTTAAAAATGTTTGCGCTTGACGTTTAACAGTCATATATTATGAATAATATATACGAATATTATCATAATCAAATAATTTCTATACTAATGGATATTTAATTATTCGTTTTTCAATGACAATTTCCTATTACACTTAAGCAAAAATATTATATTTTAAAAATTAAGAATAAAATTGCGTGTTATGTTTATTATCAAATTTAAAATATTAATATATAATAATATTAGTATATGTTATAAAAATAATAGTCAAATTAAGCAAGGTCGGTATTCATTACACGGACGGAGAATTTTTAACGAGACAACGTCTTTTTTAATTAATTGAAATATATTTTATAAGATCTTTATATTTAGTATTTATTACGTATTTAAACACACTGAATAAAAATTTATTTGATTCAAATACTTGATTACTTGACTATTATCAAATAAATATTTATTTGATAATAATCAAGTAATCGATTATTATTTGAGTTAAATAAATTTTTTTTTTTACTGCATAAAATTAGAATAAACGGAAAATATTTTCCAGACAATTAAATTAAAAAATTTTTTAAACGAAATGCCAAGAATTGTGGCACTGTCAGCAGTCAGCGCTGTACTAACATGTTAAATCTTTAACCGGTCGGTAATATAGAAAGCTATAAAAAAATTTCATTTTCAAATTTCACAAAAATTAGTGTGGCATAGAGATTAAACCTAAAGTAATCGAATAACAAATAAATTTTTTGTAATAAAATTTTTCCAATAAATTAAAATATTTACCTTAATAACGAATTTTCAGCTTTAAGGAGATTCTTTCAAACTAAATAGCCCTCGGAGATCCCTACTTTCAAGTTAAATTTCCATTCAAAAAATGTGAAAAATAACTGTTAAAATAGACCGAGTTCTAAAAAGTCTGAATATGAAGAATTTTGTGTCCTTCTTATTTTTGCCCTTATCTTTGAAGTACGTGACATCACATGCCATTGAGGTTAGAATCTGAAAAAAAGAAAAATTAAAATACTGTCAGCGCTGTACTAACATATACTTAGTTAAATCCTTAACCGATCGGTAATATAGAAAGCTATAAAAATTTAATTTCCAGACATTTATCTTCTATTTAAATTCAATAATATAAAATATTTCTTATATTCATATTATATTTCAAAAATTCATGAACGAAACAAGAAAATTTCCGTGTGGCTTTTGTTATGAAAAATTTCACTAAAAAAGTTTCACAAAAGAACAATAGAATTTACTAACAATAAATTTAACCTTATGTGTTATATTAATTATGATGTATATTGAATTTATTTAACATTTTTGCGTCTTTTTTTATTCGCATATTATTTCTATTGTATATTTTTTATTGAAATGAAATATAATAAATTTATAATTGAGCATGCTGTTAGTAATTTTCATCATTTATACATATATATCTGTCAGGAAGATACTGACTTGAATATCGATCAGCAGCGTGAACTGCATCACGAATGAATTTAGAGGAGATGAAATGAAAGAGACACTAAAGCAGAGAGGTGCAGGAAATATTTAATATTGTTTTGTTGAGAATCCACAATTATCCAAGTGTAAACAATTAAATTAAAATGACTAAATACAAATTTTGGTATACAATCAAAATCATGAATGAAAGTTAATTTTCCGTTAAAGTTATTATAAAACATTACCACTATATTATAAAGAAAATACAAAATGCTCGACAAAAATAATTATATAAAGTAAATCTCTTTTAATGTTTATTTTTAATTAATTGTAATTTTAATATTTATTAATTTTTTTTTAATTTCTTAATTGAATTTATTTTATTTTGAACAACATTAGGTAATTTACAATTATATTATTAAATTATTTAAATGATAATAAAAAAAGCTTAAACAAAAAACAATAATTTCACATTGTATACTATGGTTTTTATATCTTTTTTCAATTTGAAATATATTTTTTTTTATTCCAATTGATTTGATACAATTCATTCGTTTCATTTTCTCATCACAATTTCATTTATTTTCTTCGGCAAGTCTGCGAGAAATTTTTATTATATATTTTTCATTGTTACTTTTTCCATATTTTTGTTTTTTTTTTCTTTTTCATATAGTTGCTTTATTGAGTTGGAATATAATTTTTTTTTATTTGAATTATTTTACAATATGTATTGAGGCAGTTGTAGAATTACAATCGTTAAAAGAAATAATTAAAAATGAATTTTAACAGTCTTATTTTTGTAAAGAAATTGAAAACAATTATTATTAAATAATTTTTTTCTAATTGAGTGTTATTTTTTCACAACGGTATTTAAATCTTACATAGGACCCATTGATTGTAAAAAAAAGTCTGTCATACTTATTATATTCAAATTAGTTAAAATTTTTAACTATATAAATCAAATTTAGAGAGATTTATCACAGTTAACTTGAATGTATCAAATTGATCCAAATTTTTATATTAATTTGATTTTTTTAAACTTAGTGTAGAATAAATTTAACGTTAGAATTTAATATTAGTATTTTAAAGAAAATATTTTTATCGAAGGGAAGCAAAATCTGTTTTATGTAGTAATAGAATAAAAATGTCGTTATTCCCTTGTTTCTGATAATGTAGTGTGAGAAATTTGATGTGTTATAGGATAGCTACATTGCCCGAAGGATTTTCCTTGGGATTTTCTTTACATTGATATATATATATATATATATATATATATATATATATATATATATATATATATATATATAATATATATATATATATATATATATATATATATATATATATATATATATATAATAGCAAGTTTGTGCTTTTTGAAAACTGAATAAGGATTGATGAGAAATGTTCGTGAGAAAGTGCAGATGGATAATATATATAGAATCGAAAATTTTAACTTTAACACTATATACAATACTTTTTTGGATCATCTGGAAACTTTCTCAACTATATTCTACTAAAATTTATAATCAAAACATTTGTAAGATTTGTGAAGTTTTTTTTTAATCTAAATATCCGAATAATGTAATTTACCTTCGCGAATCAAAAAATAATATAATTAAAAACAAAACTTCTAAAGTCGAATGGATTAAATTGAAAGATATTTTTTTCAACATTTTTTACGTCGCACTCGACACGAATATGAAAACAGATTCTAGAAATTCAAAATGTCGAATCCAATAAAGCTAATGATTTTTTTTCCAAATTGAATATATATATATATATTTGCCTGAAACTTGTAACTCAGAAACTTTTTTTTTTTTTCTAAAAGAAATTTAATTACTTTTCCTTAATAAATTTTTTATTAAATTGCACTCGTGAAAATTATGATATAAAATTAGAATATATATTGTGGTTCACAAAATGATTATTAGTAACATCAAATAACTCAGCTCTAACTACAAGCAAACAGTTTATCGATTAATGTCAGCTTGTTGAGTTCTCTCGAGTTTATATATGTATATATATATATACAGATGCGGTGATATTGATGTTGCACATCTAATTAAGATTTTTATATATATAAATAATCTGCAAAAAAAAAAAATTCTCCGGTGATAAATTTCTTTTATACAAATAATAATTAACTCTATAACCAAACATTCTATTTATTATTAAATAATAATAAAATAATTATTAAAACAGATAGAAATTTCACACATTTTTCTGAATTTTTTAAAAAATAAAAATTATTTTAATTTATAGGTATAATTTTAGGAAAATAGTCTGATAGATATTATTTAATTGCAGCAATTTTTAGAACCAAAATTTGAAATGATTTAACTTCTATTTAATTCGATTCTAAAACCTTCTAAATTATCTGTGTTGCAGTTTGCATCGATGGTTTCCAATGCGACTCAACTAGATGCATTCCTGTTGATTGGAGATGCGATGGACACGTGGATTGTGCTGATCAGTCAGACGAAATTAATTGCGGTGAATGTGGACAAAATTCAATGGTCGCAACAAAATTCAATACTAAAAAGGGTAAAAAGAATAGTTCAAAAAATTCTTTCCCAGAATTGCCAACACTTCATTGTGGTCAAAGAAGATGCATGTCATCTGGACATGTTTGCAATGGAATTATGGATTGTCCATGGGGACAAGACGAACGAAACTGCTGTAAGTTACATTTAATAATAAGCATTTAATAATTATTTCACTAAATTATTCACATTTCATTTTATCTGCATATTCCTGTTAATTTAATACCAAAACATTCAAATGATAATAATCACAGAAAAAACCTGAATTCAAATTGAGTATAGATTCTATACTCAATTTGATTCGCAACAAAAATGAAACTGGTTGTCTCATTTCGAGTTCTAAGGTAAAAGTATCAAAATGAAACAGGCAAGTTTCATTTTGAGAAAAAGAAAAATGGAAAAATATTGTGAAATAACGAATAATTTTGCACAAAAACATGAAATATAATAATTACAAAGAAGTAAATAACACGCTAGACTTAATATATTTGATTAAAAATTGCTTGTAATCGCGTAATAAAATAATAAAGGAAATATGTTTTTAGGTTAGAAAAATGAAAACATGTGTTTTGACAACAGGAACGGTACTGCCAACTTAAATAATAGCGGTAAATTTAAAAACTTATGAAATTAATTATTATCTACGTAAATAATAATAAATAATTTTTATTTAAAAACTTCTAAATATTCGTACTAGTCAAAATAATCTTTCTGGTGTTGTTGAAATATTAGAAACAATAATTGAAATACAAAATTACTCTGCTTATGATGCCAACTTAGAAATCTCAAATTCCAGCCAATATCATTTTGAATAACATGAAGTTTGTCCCATACTCATTTCGATACCCAAAAGAAAATGAGTTGCAACAAAAATGAGTCCAAGTTTTTTCTGTGATGTCAATTCAACAAAATAGATTTTTTCATTATGAAAATTCTACATAAATTATTATATTAATTTATTATAATATAATTATAATTAATCAATTAAGGAGACTTTCCAGTTTAGAATATTGACAAAAGAACACAGTTTTCAAAAGATTTTATTTAACCCTCGCGTGCCTGAGTTCATTTTTTGACGTGCGTGGCTAAGCTGTGTCCGAGGGACCCAGTTTCTTAAATTCCATAAAAAACAAGATTTAATAGAAAGATAAACCAAATTTTAATTCTAAATTATAGAAGAAGAATTTGTAATGATTTCGTCTGCCTAAGAGAAATTAATTATTTTTTGGAAACATTTTTATGATTGGTTGCCTTTTTGGTGGTAATAAAGGTCTTCCTCTACTCTGATCTGGTTGTCAATTATTTTCTACACTTTCAGGTGTATTTTGTGCCAGAATTTGCAATGAAATCGTCTGCCTAAGAAAAATTAATTATTTTTTGGGAACATTTTTATAAATATGGTTGCCTTTTTGGTAGTAATAGGGGTCTTCCTCTACTGTGATCTGGTTGTCAATTTTTTACTACACTTTTAGGAGTATTTTGTGCCAGAATTTGCAATGAAATCGTCTGCCTAAGAAAAATTAATTATTTTTTGGGAACATTTTTATGATTATGTTTGCCTTTTTGATGGTAATAAAAGTCTTCCTCTACTCTGATCTGGGTGTCAATTTTTTTCTACACTTTTAGGTGTATTTTGTGCAAGAATTTGCAATGAAATCGTTTGCCTAAGAGAAAATAAACATTTTTTGGGAACATTTTTATGTTTATGGTTTCCTTTTTGGTGGTAATAAAGATCTTCCTCTACCCTAGTAGAAATTTGTCCCAGTAATTATCGTTGCACTGAACAGTTGCGCTAGAAGCTGTCTAGTAACTTAACACTGCAACTGGCTAATTACTCGAATGGAATGTCACGCTTTTTTCGTCTAGTTATTGTCTAGCCCAACTTGATAAATTCTGATCAACGGTCCGTTAGAAAAACTAGACAAATTATTTCTTTTAAATATTCTCAAAATTTGTCTAATATTAAGATTTAATGTAAGAAACTAATTATACAATAATAAATTATATAATTACATTAATTTTTTTAAATTATAATCTAAATTATTTGAAGAAAATATAATGTATAGTAAATTGTTAAAAGCATAGTATTTGTCAATACTGTTTAATTTTTAATTTAAAAAAAAAATTTTATCTGTGAAAAAGGATCACAAATATTTTCTGGTACACTGAAACATCCACTTTTTGATTGCACTGTAATGACGACTGTAACAAATATTTTTGTATTAGTTATTTATTATACAATTATAATTATCAACTTTTAAACACGAAGAGAACGCAATTTCAACGAAAAATCTCGGGGGTATCGGGGAGCGAACACGGGTCCGCTGGGCGCGAGGTACGCATGCTACGCAATCTGCTATACTAACGATATCCATCAAACGAAAAATATAGCAGATATATTTTAGTTCAGTGCTGTAGCTAGAAATGGCATGCTTTATATAAATATTTTTACTATTATCTGCCAAAATACATATTTTAGAATTTTAATTTTTTATAATTTACTGAAAAATAAATTTACATTTGAAATAACAATTTTAATCAGCACAAATTTCATTAAACCATTATTGTATTAAACAATAAATATTTTACATTTTCTAAAAATTTAATTTTTAATTTTTTACAACTTAATTTTAATATTTTATAATTTAAAAAATTTTTTAATTTAGCTATTAATCCACCTATTTTTAAAATTATATATTTTATTTAAAAAGATTTTAAAAATTTAAGACATAAAAACATTTTAATTTAAAAAAATAAAAAGAGAAATAAAATATAACCTATCTATGTAACAACGCATATTTTTATTATTGCATTTTGATATTTTTTAAAAATAATTACTATTAAAATTATTATTTATTGTTTTCTAAGTGAAAAACTCAACGAAAACAGTAATTTTTATTGTTTTTTAATATCAAAGGATAGAATTTATAGGTTAGGTTTTCTAAATTACACATTTTTTCAATATCAATTGAGAATAAACTTTCTTAATAAAAAAATATATGATATATAAATGGAACAATAAATAAAATGCCAATAATAGATAATGGAATAATTTAATTAATAAAAAAGAAAAACATACTAAATATCATGTGAATATAGATTTTATTTATTTATTATATTAAAATAATAAATTATGTTAATTTATATTTACCTGAATTAATTAGAATTTTATTATTTAAGAAAATAATGAAATAATATAATAGTTACATGAACACAGATTTCTAGCACTTTTTTGTCTAGTTATTAGACATGTACTGCAGCGCTGCTGCCACGAAAGAAGACGAAAGTATAATTTCTAGAGACACTAGACAGTGCCATTCAAGCAACTGGACAAAAGTTGAATCTAGCCAATTTCAAGTTCAACTTGAATGTTTTCTAAGACTGTTGGTCAAGTAACTTTACAGTAATTGTCTAGTTTGTCTAGAATCAGCGTTCACGAGAAAAACTGGCTAGTTACTAGAGTATTTCTAGTGCTTCCATGACAAATTTCTACTAGGGTACTCTGATCTGGGTGTCAATTTTTTTCTACACTTTTAGGAGTATTTTGTGCCAGAATTTGCAATGAAATTGTCTGCCTAAGAAAAATTAATTATTTGTTGGAAACTTTTTTATGATTATGGTTACCTTTTTGGTAGTAATAGGGGTCTTCCCCTACTTCGATCTGGGTGTCAATTTTTTTCATATATTTTGTTTTTTGTTCATACGATCTATGAAATATTTTATTTTTTGTTTATATAAATCTTATGTTGAAATTAGGATCTTATTCTTTATTTTTTTTCTCCAGAATGATGAAAAACTCTATTTTTGTTAAGATATAGATCTTATATAATAAGATTATTTTGTAATCCTGATATAATTGAAATGTGTTTGACTTTTAATGGTCTTTCGACTGTGGGCTCGATATTTTGTTACAAATAAAAAAAATATATATTATAATTAAAATAATTATTTTTGAACAATAATTAAAAAGTTATTTTTTTTTATTTTGATGGATTCGCTTTGTTCCTGTGGACTTTTTCACATTTGGATTCATTGAAAATTTATATATATATAGTGAGATTGAGCGAAGAGAATGGAGATATTGGGAAAGGAAGACTGGAAGTATATCACGCAGCTGAAGGAACATTTCTCCCTGCTTGCATTAAGCACTGGAATCCCAATTCAGCGCAGATTATTTGCTCTTTGCTGGGATATACGTAAGTCTTACATTGTGTATTAAAATTTTTGAATTATTTAATATTTTATTAAAATGTTTATATTTTTAAATAAGAAAATTCACGGTTTTGTAAAAATGGACTAAAATTTTTAGATTTTTGTAATTTAAAAAAACAACTATTTTTTATAATAAATAAATAAATAATTTATAAAATAATTAATAAAATAAAGTTTAAATGAAAAATTAGCATTTCGAAAGAATTTATAAAACATAAAATGAAATATCAATTAATTTTTAATTTCACATTTTTCTAATTACTTTTTAAAGAAAAGAAAAAATGTTTTATATTATTTTTCCCCCTAATATTTTTAGAATTGCAAATTCATCGATTCTAATAACGAAATCAGGTGACAATGACTCGTTTATTGAACCTAAACTACAGACATACCAACAATGGAGGGGAACTCTGAACAGCAAAGTAAATCTGTTGAGAGAATTTCAAGAATGCGAAAATCCAAGGGATCATTCGACTGTCGAGCTGTCCTGTTCTCAATATGGTATTTCGTTTTATACTTATCTCTTGGCAATATGGCTTTGAAAAATCCTACTGCATTTTAAATATAACCCCTCCTCTCTCACCCAAGAAGTAGCTTCTGAAAAATATACTTTCTTTTGTTGATACGAGATAAATACCAAAACGATCAAGATTCAATTTTGTTTTGTATCATATAAATAAACTTGCTTTTGTACAAGTGTATTGTGACTAAATATATTCAGAATCTTATTATATATATCTTTTATCAAAAGAGATAATAATTAAGTGACATCTTTAATTCATATTGAAGAAAATTTATATTTGCAAATCTATTGAACTTTTTTTCCTATTAGCGTGCGGTCGAAGGAATATAGTTTATGGCCATTCAAATATTAAAACGAGAATTGTGGGAGGCGTTGAATCATCTCCTGGGGATTGGCCTTTTCTTGCTGCACTTCTGGGAGGTCCGGAAGAAGTTTTTTACTGTGCAGGAGTCCTTATATCAGATCAATGGATACTCACTGCTTCTCATTGCGTTGGAAAGTGAGTATTGATCATTATTTAATTTAATTTTCTTTCATGTCACTCGTCAATTCATTTCAATGGTCGATGTTTCACTTTAAAAAAATAAATAATCGATTGATTTTTTTAAATATAGCTTTGAATTATTCTACTTCTTTCGTAGAGAATTTTTTATTAAAATATGTGTGTTTGAAAATTATTTTTAAGAAACTATAGTAATGTAATCCACAGTTATTTCATAAAAGAAAACAAATTCATAATTAATAATAATAAATATAGCACCACTGAAAAATATTTGAATTGAATTTTTATGAGTATTGGTTTAATTTAATCTATAATTTATATATTAAATATGTTATATGTTTTTTCTTCTGAAAAATTAATAATTGAATCAACGTAATTTAAATTCAAGACATTTTTCTCAGAAGCTTTTAAATCTTTAAGTAAATTTTTCAACATTTTGATTTTCAATTTATATAATAATTTATTTATTAGAGCTGGTCAAGTTTTTAAAATTCGAACCGCTCCATAAGAATTAACATGGGCTCGAATTGAATATTCGATCCGAGCCCATACAAAATTCGAACTTTTGCACAGCTCTATTATTTATTCTTTTGCCAATATAATAAAAATTGTTTCTTTTGTCTTGATATTGTCATAATTACACTGCATTACTTACATTACTCACATTTTAGTAAACAAATTTCAATTTATATAATGTTTACAATAAAAAAAATTTTTAAGGCTGTTTTTGTATTCTTTTTTACAAAAATTAATTTAATAGATATAATTTTAAAAAAATTCCATTACATAATTGTCGAAAAAAATATTTATTCATGTGTCACTTGAAAAAAACTTCTAGTTATAACCAGAATTCTGGTTGTGGTATATATTTAACATTGTGATTCTGGTTAGGTTAACCGCAGAATTCTGGTTATTTTGACAAGAATTTTGGTTAACTTAACTAGAAAGTAATGTTAAATATAGCCTATCTAGAATTTTTTTTCAGTATATGCCATTAAAATTTTCTAAAAATTTCAAAAAAACTATTTACTCAAATTGTTTCTATGCCAACAAAATTTTTAAAATAATTATATTTTGTCATTGATTATTACCTATTAAAATTTTGTCATTTTAGAGAACTGCTTTGTTTTTAAAATAAAAATATCAAATAATTTAATAGTCACATTTTATAAATGTTATTTAAAAAAATTCTTTTTGTGCTTCTGTAGATAAAGAATAATTATTTTATGTCAATATGAATTCAAATATTTTTCCATCTATATTTATTTATATTTATACGTATATATATTTATATTTATTATGTTTTTTATTTGTAAGCAATTTTTGATAATAGTTTTTCATTACTAAAAAGATTAAATGATGTTTTTTTTTTTATTTGCGCAAGCGATAATTTTTTTTAATATAATTTCAACTTTGTGAAAGAATAATAATTTAATTTAAAAGAAAGGTTAAATTATATACATTCTTTCATATTTTTGAAATTATATTTAAAAAAATTATAGCTTGCAAATAAAAAAACAACATTTAATCTTTTTAGTAAAGAAAAACTATTATGAAATTTTTCTTACAAATACAATAAATATAATAAATATAAATATATATATGTACATATAAATAAATGTAGATGGAAAAATAAATAATATTTCTTATATATATATATATTAATTTTTCTAAACACAAAATTCACATATCACATAATAAAATTCACTTTCATCATATAAAATAATCATTTTTATCTGTATAAGCACAAAAATGATTATTTTAAAAATTAAAATTTACAAAATGTCAATTTAAATTTTTTGAAATTTTTATTTTAAAAATAAATTAACGTAAAAATTTATTAACGGAAAATAAAAAAAAAATTTTAACGAAAAATTGACGATTATTATAATTATTATATCTATTTTTATTTTTATACAGAACTAACTTTTGAAATTTAAATTCAATCGATATATATAATTTATTTGGAAAAAAAGAATATATATAAACGTATATTTTTTTGAGATGATTTAAAAAAGAGATGAATTTGTCTTCTTTTGTCAATATTTCATTTCTATCGAACATGTCATTCTGTGTCATCTTAATCGTTATCATTCATTCTCAATCATTTTCGAACTGCCTGTGCCAAGGCCGAAATCTGGTAGTTTTAGTCATTCGGAAGTTTCTGGATGGACAATTCAATTGGGAATTACAAGGAGATTTGCACACACTTACTTGGGACAAAAGCTCAAACTAAAACGAGTTGTACCACATCCGAGTTATAATTTGGGAGTCGCACATGACAACGATGTTGCTCTCTTTCAGGTAATTCTTTTTTTTTTAAGTGTTTTTACTAAAAATTTAATTGTTTATAGAATACTTGTAATTTTTTTTATTTTATATATTAGATTAAGATAATTATATATGTGAATATATTCATGAATAAATTTTAACTAATATATACAATTTATTAATAACTGCTTATAATTAATCAATTTAATTAATTTTTCTGAAGTTGGAAAAGCGAGTGACATTTCACGAGCATCTGAGACCGGTTTGTCTGCCTCCACCTAACATTGATTTAAAGTCGGGAACAATTTGTACTGTGATTGGTTGGGGTAAAAAGGAGGATGCAGAAAGTGAGTTAAATATTTTCTAAGAATCTTCATCTTATTATAATTTAGAAACACCCCCCTCTTTCTTCCTTATATTAGATATTAACAAAAAAATTGTTTATGTATTTAGCTTCTGAATATGAGCCTGCAGTGAATGAAGTTAATGTCCCAATTTTGGAGAGGGAAACATGTAATTTATGGTTGGAGCATAAAGATCTTAATATAACTGATGGGATGATTTGTGCTGGATATCCGGATGGTGGAAAAGACGCGTGCCAGGTAGAATTTAATCGATTAATTTCAAACAAAGTTGAATTTCTAGATTATTTTTTTTAATACAATTTCTAAATTTTTTTTCTAATTTTTAATTCCTACAAACGAATTTAAATTCCTAAGGAAATTCAATTCGAAATTATAGAAATAATTTTTTGTTATTGGCAACAAACTTCAGAGAAATCTTATCAGGTCTTTTTCCATCCAAATCAAAATCTTCAAAAAATATATTTTTCTTAAGGTAAAGGAGAGTCGGGTAACCACGGCCATGGTGTAGCCGTGGACACACACGATATTTAATAAATTCTTATACTTACGATAATAGTACATTATTTTTTTGATTTGAGATGTTCTCATAATGTAAATTTAAAATTATTTGAATAAATGGTCGTCCTAAGAGAGTAAAAAACCTTGTCTAAAATTTTGTCTTCAAAAAACAAGTCAATTTACTAAAGTTGCGCTGACTTATTTATCTATTATTTTTATATTCTATAGGTTTTTAAATTAAATCTACTTTTTTGTCATGAAGCTGAACTATCAGTTAATGAATAATTCATGCTAATTTATTTTATTTCTTAGTAATTTGTTCATAAATTTATAACTGCTAAAATATGTTTTGTCGGCTTGCCCCGGCCACATAAAATACGGGTACTTCCGGACAATTTTTCAATGCAATTTTCAATTGTTTATACTGCTACTTCAAGTAGCACAAAACTTATTATTAGGGGAGAGTGGGGAGTTATGCAACGGGTTTTGTTTTTGCTCCAAAATATTAAAATTTTTTTTTGTACATATTATCATATGGAACTTGTAGTACATATAAAAACAAAACTTCTACCATAAAAAATTTTTTAAAAGTAAAAAAATTTAATGATTTTTGCTCATTTTCTTAAAAACCGGTTTTTACTGATTTTTAAAAACGGTGCACAGTGGGGCAGAATGCATAAAAAGTTGGCAAAAAATGAAAAATTGAAAAATTCAATTCCAACTTTTAATTACATTATTTCAATAAACAATAAGTCAAAGTTTGATGAAATATAATTTTTAGCCCTTTTTAACTGCGGATTTTCATAGAAATATGTTTTAATGTCGACCTATTTTCAACGGTTATGTTCGCGCTTTTTTGTTTATTTATCAAGGTAAGGTTTGTAACCTGATTAAAACGTACAATGTGACAGATTTTGAATTATTTATCATGGAATCTTCAAATTCAGGTATTTAATTATATTATAGAAAAGATAAAATCGTATTTTATAACATTTTAATTATTAAAATTCTTAAAAGAAACGAGCTTCTGAAATTCAAAAATTGAAAAAATTTTCTGTAAACATTAATCATTTTAGTTATGTTCCAAGCTAGTCCAGGTGTTAATTCTTGAATTTTTTATTATGTTTTAATTCCAGGTTTCTGAATCTGCTTGAAATTTTTGCGAATATTTGCGATTTTTCGAGAAAAAGTGATTTTATTGGACACATTGCAAAATACAGAAATATGTATTTTCAATAATGAGTGTACTTTGTTTTAAGAAAATTTGTTAACCTTTAAAAATTAAACTCAATAAGATTTTGATTTTAAAATGTTTTATATTATTAATTTTATATTTAAAAGTTTATAATTGAAATTTCTAAAACGGGATAAATAAATAGTCTTACAATTTTTGAATTTCTTCGTCGCATAAGTATTTTTAATTTAAGTAAATATTTGTAATTAGTGTAGAAATTAAAAATAAATTATTGTAATTTTTATATTAGGAACGACTTCAAGCGCGCTTCATGCGTAAAGAGAAAAGAACTCGTTGAAATAATGAACCGTTCAAATAGCAGTAAATTCGATGAGAGATTTAATTTTTTAATATCTGCCATTTTGAATCTGCTATTTCGTAGTTTTAAAAAATTGACTTCATATTCGTAATCAGCAACCCCAAAAACACACGAATATCTAGTTTCAAACGATTTCGTTGAAATTTAAAAAACATATCCGCCATGTTGGATCCGCCATTTTGAATTTTTAAAATCTGACTTTAGATTCGTAATCAGCGACCTCGAAAACCATTAGATACTACATTTTATAGAAATCGAACAATTTTGAAAAAAATTGTCCGCCATATTGGATCCGCCATTTTGAATTTTTAAAATCTGACGTTAGATTCGCAATCAGCGACCCCGAAAACCCCTAAATACCAAATTTTATAGAAATCAAACTAATTTTTTTAAAAAATTGTCCGCCATATTGGATCCGCCATTTTGAATTTTTAAAAACTGACTTCATATTCGTAATCAGCGACCCAACAAACTTTACAAATCTTTAATGTCAATAATTTTCAATGAAAAATACATTTAATGCCAACTTTTTTAACATTCTGCCCCACTGTGCGGTGGGGAGTTGTGCAACACTATTTAAAATCATAGATAACGGTCTATTTTATGGAAGATTTTTTATTTATGTGATAAATAATGAAAAAGGAAGAGAATTGAAACAAAATATTTTTCCGTTAAGCCAATCAGTCAATCTCATTTACAATGAATGCATGTATAAAACCCACATGTTAAAGGAGCACATTTCAAATGCACAGCTCGATCACATTTAACGCCATGGATTGAGTTTTTCGGTTTAATTTCTTTGGCATTGTACCTATGCAAATGATACAAAAGTCTTCTTCCTCTTCTTCTTCTGAATCGGGTAAAATTTTTTTTTTGATTTTGTATCAAGTGCAGGACGACCGTGCTTAACTGGTGGTGCTTTAGCAGTTTGTTTCTTTTTTCTCTTCTGTCCTTTTTTCATCTCTTTTTGACGTTTTTCTTCAATTTTCTGGGATAACTTTGACACATTTTCAAGCGAAGTCAAAAAAGTCAATGAAAGATATAGCGATTTTTATATATATGTCTATCAACAATATTATCAATATTAATAATATTATTATGAATTATATTTTTCAACAATGTAATAACAATATTATTAATAGGTATGTTTATCAACAATATCTTTTAAATAATGCGAAATTCGCATAGAAAATGCGAAATCGGATGAAAAACTATTCAATATAAAGTGTTGCACAACTCCCCACTAATTGTGTTGCATAACTGCCCACTTTCCAAATTTTCGAAAAAAACACACAGTAATTAACATATCAAATATTTATGAAAAATTCTTTTACATATCGAAAGAGTATTAACTGCAGATTATTTTCCATATAGTCACCTGTTTTTAAAACTTTAAACAATTACTGAAAATGACTTAAATACAAGAAGCAAAAAAAACTTTTTGAACTAAATTTTAACTCACACTCTGCACGGAAAGAAATTTAGTAGCAATATTTGATAAATCTGATAGGAAATTTTAGTATTCTCTTTTTCAAACGCGGAACATTTGGGTTTGATAACGAAAATCGGTATATTTTTACCAATAGTCTTTTTAGTAAATATATTCCAGAAATTGAAATTATTATTTCGTAAATTGATAAATTTATACGAAAAACCAGAAGTAAGTTAAACCGACGCGCACTTCGTTATTTACTAAATTTATATGAAAATTTGGAAGGATTATTTCGAAATTTGTTAAAACTATACTAAAAATTCGAAGTGGTTCAGTCGTGACAGATGACGACAGAAACACCAATAGATTCTACGCCAAAGTTTTATCTCTTTCTCATCTCGAGGATAGACGAGGATATGAACTTTTAAATGCACACACACACATACACCTCATTGCTTTACATCGATTGGCTTATTTTTATTCCTAACCTATACCAACGATAATACGTATAACATTCGCAGAATAACGCTTCATATACAAATTTACGCTCATGTGAAAAACTGATGTGACCATTCTTATATACTAACCAGACATATTTTTCACCGCTTATGAGAAAGGTGAAATTATATCAAAACATGTTTAAAAATATAAATAAAAATCATTATTTATTGGGAAATAATTAAATATTTTATTATTTTTTGAAGAACAATTTTTTTTACTGATTTATTGTAAAATCTTCGAAATTAATTATATAAAAGAAATTCAGGTCTGTATCAAGATAATAGTAAAAAGGGGCTTGTCTAAAGAGCTTCGTCAGTCTTCGTTACCACTCGGTGAGGATCGGGCAATTCCGAACATTCAACTTTGGCAAATTTCGTCGAATCTCGTTAACTTTGATATTTCTTTTTCAATTTTCATATCAAATATATCAAAATCTGAAATAATTATATCATTTTATAGAATTCTAATTACGAAATTTGAAATATTTGGTTAGAAAAATTGATAAAGAGCTTATTAAAATTTGATATTTTTGTGTTTCAATAAAAAGATTTCAGATTTCGTAAATATTATATCAAATTTTCTTTCCAACTATATTAAATATTCTTATTTTAATCTCAATCATTCTTAAAAATAGTATCGAAAATCGTTATCATGTCAAAATGTTCCGCAATTGTAACCAAATATACTAAAAAGTAACACCATAATATCAAATATTGCTACAAACTTTCTTTCCGTGTGGAAAAATACTAAGAATGGCTGCGCATGTGATAAATACCAGTCAAAAAGTTAAATCTTAATGCGAAAAGAATTTCATATTAGTTGCAAGAGTCATAACAATTATTATTTAATAAATATTAGCGTGTTGCACAACTCCCCACTCTCCCGTATAAATTGAATTATTATCACAAAATAAAGTTTCTTCATCCGTTTATGTTTTAAAATGCGATTTTTATTTGAAAAATGCCCTATTTTTTCATTTCGTAAAGATAAAGTATCCAAAATGCTGACTTTTTAATGATGGCCTGAGGTACCCGACACGCCAACTTGGTAACCTGAATTCGAATTTATTTTGAAATCCTTTTTTTTGTATTTATAAAGCAATTATTTCTGAAATGCTTAAGTAGTATGCGTAGTTCAAACACTTTTAATGATATCTAATCATCGAAACAACTATTTTAACCGATATTACTGAAATAATAACCAGAAAACGTTAAGGTTACGGGGCTACCCGACTCTCCCCTAGTAGTACGGTGTAACACTTGAAAATCGATGCTGTTTTATGAATTTTTTTAAGCGGGTAAATAAATGGCGACCGTTACGAAATTTGGATATGTTTTTATTGTCGTCTTAAAGTATATAAAAAAATTTTTTTTTACAATAATTAATGTTAATTTGTTAATAATTTTAAACGTCGATGTCGACTCCTCGAAAAAGACAGAAATTTTTCGGTACACTCCATGGCCTTTCGCAGTCAGCCTTTTTAAATGTGTCAAGAATAACAGATTAAATTTTTGTCTCAATCGATTAAATAGTTTTTGTTGGTGAGTTTACCGAAACTTTGAAAACGTAGTTTCGAGAAAATCGCGTTTAAAGATTCGGTAGCAGTTTATTAGTAAAAAAAGTATGCTTACATTAATCGGCTATGCCTGGTGCATAGAGTAAACCTTCTATTTTCTAAAAATTATCATTTTCAGCGGCTTAAAAAAAAACGAAAGAGCGTCTGGTCGAAGCAACTACTGTCAGCGCGTCAATATTCGTCTATAATATACTGATCACGGCGCGCTCTCTTCTTTTCACGATAAAATTAAAAGTATTGCAAATTTTGGTTTGGGATTTTGAGGATATATTTTAAATGTTTTTCTTTTAGAAAATGTAATAAAAAAATCGATATTTGACCCCCACACACCGGACTACTACCTTAATTTTTATTTTTTTTTATAACGTCTATTATTTATTTATTTATATGAATACGGATTTACAAAAAGGAAAAACCAGACTTTTCGTATTATTTACTTGTTATTTTTTCTCCAAACATTAAAAATTATTTATATTAATTAATATTTCAGTATTAATAATTAATTGTTCACTTATTTAATTGAGTTTAAATCAACAAAAAATTATTAAAATAACTAAAAAAGAATTAAAAAAAATTGAAAATAAATTTTTTTTTTAAAGAAATTGTCCATCTATATATATATTTAAGTGAAAAATCAGAACGTCTAATCTCGGTCTTAAAATACCAATTTTCTTTTCGTTAGGGTGATTCTGGTGGTCCATTACTCTGTCAAGATGAAGAGGACAAGGAAAAATGGTTTGTCGGTGGAATTGTCAGTTGGGGCATTAAATGTGCACATCCAAAATTACCCGGGGTTTATGCTTATGTACCAAAATACGTATCTTGGATTCATAGTGAAATTGCCAAATACTCGGATGATGAAGCAGGGTAAAAAAATTCACAAAATCACGGTAAGAAAAAATATCAAATGACCATATATATATATATATAGAGAGAGAGAGAAAACGTGTCAAGCCAAATGAAATCAAGAAACATCCACGAAACAACGGTTAGAAGAAATTTTCTCCAAATTAAAAAAAAACAAATATATACATGTATCCAGTGAAAAAAGAAATGTCAAAAAAGAACTGTTAATACAAAAACAATTCTTTTCAATTGAGAATTTTTCAAAAGTATTTTTTGAAAAAAATAACACAAACCAATATTATTTTTGTTTAATATTCTTCAAATATGTTGAATACTCTCTCAAAAAAAATTTTGAATATTCGAAAAATGTTTGAAAATATTTATTCTTAAGGTGAAAAAAAATTTATTGTTCTTGAAATTTAAAACCTAATTTCTTTATAATTAATTTATTGTTCAAAAATATTTATTATACAAGAAAAATATTTTTTGTATAAATTGTAAAATTATTATTATTTTTTTTTTTAATTTTATTTCAAAATTGAATATAATTGAAGAATTGTGGCTTATGTATTAAGGTTTACTATCTTTAACTAACGAAACGACAATCGTAGTCAAAAAGTTAATAGATAGAATAAAAAAGATGCACAATATTTGTTGATGTGCAAAATAAAAAAAAAAAATTAATTAACAGCCAGATGCTCTGAGATAATGTCGAAAACTATTTTCAAAATTTACCAATTCGAGAGTATATATATTTTTCAAAATTTAATATATTTGCTATGTATGACAACATTCATTTTGAAATTTTCAATTTTTACTAATCAATTGTTTTTTTATCAAAAAAATGATTAAACATAAAAATAAATGTGAATTTAGAGATACAAATTTTTAAAAATTTGAAAAAATTATTATAAAATTAAATTATTATTTAATGCGTTAATACACAAATTTTAAATATAATATACTCTCAGATACAATAATGTGAAAATTTTAAAACTATGTATCGGCTGATATATAAAAGAAGAAAAAGTTTGAAAATGACAATATTATATGCGTGTGTAAAAAAAAATGTATATCAAAAGAAGTCAATTTTTCTATATCAAATGAACTTGAAAATCGTGCCATTTTACAATACCCAAAATCGACGCTGCGTAAGACGCAAAAAAAAAAAAAATTAAATAAAAGCTAGGTGATGGAAATGGAAAAACATATATATGGTAGAGATAGAATTATCATGTTTAAAAACTTAATGCGAGAAAAAAATACACAAGTCAAACGATAAGAATATTCTCAATAATAATGATCAGTAAAACTTTTATACATGCCGTAACTTAAGAAAAGCAAGGTTCGATATGAATTTCGTGGACAATACTATTTTTAATAATCTAATAAAAAAAATTCATCGCAATTTCAGTTGGTTATTATATAAAATTATAAAACTATTTAAAATAAGTAAATATTATAAATACTTTTTTTTAAATAATAAAAGTAGTATTTTTTTTTTATTATTAGAAAATTTTACTATAAGTATTATTATTATTATTTTTTTTATTAATTAATATATTATTTATTTTGTAAATAAAAAAATTATATAAAAACCAACTGAAAAGCGTTGCTTTTTTTTATGTGTACTTTTCAGCGACGACAAATCGCGTTTAATGATTAGTAATTTTATTACTAACATGAAATAACAGGAAACATATAAAGTAAGATAATGAACCGCCACTTCCATTGTATTTCTATAGCGAAGTTCAGATATAATATTGCGATCATCTTAATCACACTCTTTTTAAAAATATTCTTCCTTTTTATTTCACACACAAAATATTTTTTAATTCCACTTTCATGGCGATATTTTGCTGTGTAAAAATTTTCAGTTGAAATTGTTGATTCATTAAATTAAAATAAAAAAAAAATTAGATGGAAATATTGGCACAAATTTTTAATTATTTTTTCCGATTAACTATTGATAGTCATTTTTTTTTTTTTGATAAAAAATTTAAATATTTCCCACTAAAATTTGAAGTATGTAAAAATAAAAAAAAATTAAAGTAAAATAAGCTTTGATTGTTTATCTTAATAATAAACTTGATGTGCATTTGAACATATTGCTCTCTAAATCTGAATTAGTAAAAATGTTTACTAATTTGAATTAGTGATTCACTTTTTGCTTCTCAGTTAGTAAAATTTTACTAATTATTAGTTAAATTTTACTAACAATTAGTAACTTTTACTAACAAGTACTAAAATTTAACTAACTCTAAAGCAAAAAGTGAGTCACTAATTTAAATTAGTAAACATTTTTACTAATTCAGATTTAGAGAGTGAATTTCAGTAGTCAATATTTTTGAAACGTTTTTCAAAATTTGTGGTAAATATTTGCAAAAAATAACAATTGTTAAATTTAATTTTGATGAATTATAAATTTTTTCAATTGTTTGCCAATATTTTTTTCCTTTTTTTTATGTCAGTTTCTTTATTTGACGAACGAATTACAATTTCAAATGAAAATTTTTCTCTCATCAAATTATGCATCACTAACGTATAACAAAAGTAAAGAGAAGTTTATTACTAAAAAAAAAGGGAAAAATACGCATAAGATGCGATTAAAAATATTCTTGTAAGTCTTATATATGTATAACTTGAATACAGAGATTCCACTCACCACAAAGTGGTGAATCTCTCTAAGAAAAGGATTTATATTTTTTGTCAATTCCCATTTTTAACAAAATTCTACCCAAAAAAAAATTTTTTGTTATAAAAAATTTTTGGCATATGAATTATTTAAAAAAAATTTCTAATCATTATTTTAATATAGACAAACAAAAATGTGCGCATAAAAAAATTCATTCAACAAATAGAGAATTAGTTTGTCCCATACATATTATATATTTATATAAATAGTGTGTGATTCAAAAATTTATTCCAATTTTTTTAAAATAAAAAAATAAGACACATCAGGAAGATTATTGCATCAAATGCAAAAATTTCCACATAATTCGTGGATTATTGTCAATAAATAATATATTATAAAAATATATTTAAAGAAAAAGGCAAATGTATAACGAAAAAATGTAAAAATAGTTTTACAGTTTTTAGTGTAAAATTTATGTTTAATTTATATGTGAAATAATTGTGAAATAATTATATAATTATTCGACAATAAGAAAGAAAAAAATATGTATAAGATTCTCGTATATATTAATATATGAGTTTCTTGAATCACTTTTTCTAAAGTGATTTATATTTAAATATATTTATTTAATCCAAGATATATGTCCTCAAGGATCGATAAAAAAAATATATATTAAGAATTAAAATAAGGCAATATTTAAAATATGTAAAAAAAAAAAATTAGAAAATATAAAACAGCTTTTAGTATAGGTTTAGTGTAAAATGTAAACGTTCGTATTTATATAATAGTAGAAGAAACATATGTTGACTGAATTCTAGGGATAAAAACTGCACCAGCACTTTTTTGATCTGCACTCTAAATGAAAGAGCTTTATAAAACAAAATATACTTTATATAATGTATTCATATTGTTTATGAGAAAAAAAACTAGGAGCCTTACTAATTGACATAGACTGCTTAGAGATTTTTCTAAGCTATACGATAAGTAGTATTGTTGGTAACAACCTTGAAGAATAATTTTTATTTGTTATATTTTCTTCAGTTTTTTTACCATCTTTCTTATTCTCATTGAGCTTATAATTTTTATCTAAAAAATTTTTCTTCATCCCCAAAAAGAAGTTAGAATTCAAAAGAAAAACTTGTTATTAACAAAAGTAAAAAACGACTTTTTTTTTTGAAAAATACTATAATAATTTTATTATTTTGTACACGCGGAAAAATCAAACTCATCCATCTGAGAATATAATTTTCTATATTGTGAAAAAATAATTCAAAAATTCTTCCATATACAAACAGTAGAGAAAAATATATTTTTCTTAGTGCTAAATTTTATTAGTTTGACAAAAAAAAAATTATTAAAGGAAAAAATAATTTGATTCAAATATATATAAATTATATTTGCTTTTGAATAAAAAATTCCTCTAAATGAAAATTCGATGTAGAAAATTAAATTCGTTTTTTTCAAAGCTTGCTTTCGCTTAAATAAGAGATCAATACATAGATAAAAATTAAAAAATTTGACTCTGACAATAATAACAGTCTTCCTTAGCATCCAGACAACAATTAGTTGTAAAAAAAAAAAAAAATATGAAAAACTTAATGATAACCGACAATACTGTGTGAGCAGACAATAAATAGATTTAAGAACTGTTCCAAATATGGACAATAACTTATAGCTAAGATTTATTATATAAGGTCTAGCTAATTATCTTGCACATAAATTAAGTAAATTAAAAATAAATATAAAAATTAGTTCTTCATAAAAACAGACCATATAATTTTAAATAATTATGTTTTTTTTTTTAAACATTAATTTAAACTTATAACAAATAATAAAAATTTCTAATACTAAGTTTTTCATTTAAACGTAATTTATTTTTAATTTTTTAAATTTAAAATCATTTTTTCATCAACTTTCTTTTTAAAAAAAATTTTTTAAATTGTTTCTTTAAAGAATTTGTTCAACTAATTTGTTAAATTTTCTTTCAAAAAATTAAAAAAGTAAAGGCATACATCGAATTGTGGCGTTAATTAGACTATAAAACAGTAATTTTTATCTGCACAGTTTGATGAATGCCAATTCTTATAATATACAATATAGATAATGTGGTATTTTTAAAATAAATATAAATAAATCAACAAGTATTACCAAATAAATGAATATTTTTTACAAGTATAAATATTTATTTCGAACTCTATTAATAGAAATAAATGATAATTATAATTGCAAACATTAAAAATAAAATAAATCATTTCTTAATCAAGTATAAAAGAATAAAAATTGTATAAAATTGCTTTCATGATATTTTTTACGCTCCAAAGTAATTTTTTTATGTCAATAATAAAAAAAATATACATATATATATAATTGAAGTTTAGAATAAATATATATATATATTATAAATTCTTATAAGACGATATTATGGCAATTATTAAAAGCTACTTTTAAGATAATATACACTCGAAAAAAATAGTATTGAATCAAGAAAAACGGATTTGATTCAATATTTTTTTGATCCAAGAAAATGATACTAGTTTGAAGTAAATGTTCTTG